GAGGAGCCGGGTGGGGAGGGCTGAGTGAGGAGCGGCGAGACACCTCTTCCCCCTACTGGCCCCCCCCACCTCCCCCGCGCTCGCGCGGCGGCCGTTCAACGGCGGCGCCGCTCCTGCCACCGGCCGGGCCGCCCGGGGGGGAAGCCGGGCCCTGCCGGGGTGAGGGCGGAACTAGGAAATGCCGCGGGCACGGCCGGAGGAGGGGGGCCGGCCGGCGCCTCCTGACCGGTTATACCGGCAGGAAGGATCGCCGGGGGGGTGGGGGGGCACCGGCTTCTGGCGGCGTTAAATCCTCTGGGGGGGGTCCCCGGCGGTGCCTCAGCGCTCCCCCCTCACTCCCCCTCATCCTCCCCCGCGCTGCCGAGGCGTCGTCGCCGGGAGCGTTTCCCGGGGTGGTCGGGGCCCCTGCGAGGGGCTCTCCCGCCCCAACCGGTAGAGATGTGGGAATTTAACGAAAAACTGCTTTCACACGATTAAGCAAAAAAATAAATCCCAAGCTGCTGACGTACTGGATGATGTATTCCAAGAGGTATGGACAGAGCGACGGTGTGTCTCTGTCAGAGGCTCTCAGAGGGATGCCTAGCAGACAGCGTGAAGGGACCGCTGAGTGAGGTTTCTTACCATCAGTCCTTTTCTGCGCTGAACGTGTTTTGAATAGGGTTCTGGGTTATCCAATTCCACTTCTGTGTAAGGAGGGAACAATAGGCCAAAGTATCAGCAGGCGTGTAACTCTTACTCAGGCTGACGTGGAGGGCATGGCAGTTCCAGCGCAGCCCTTAAAATGCCACCGATAACTCACCTGATACAGGTCTCTTAAAAGTCTCAAAACCTGGAGAACACCAGCGGTGATAGTTCTTAAAATATGTACAAAATATCCCAGATATGCAGATTTATAGTTCTTTAATTACATTAGCACAACTGAATTCATTATGCTGACATAGGTATTAGGTGTTCAACTTTAACATTAGTGTGGTATAAGTAAACTGTAGTCTCTAATATGAAATGACAGGCTGAAGCTGGTAAAGGCTGCTGCTGTATTGCGTAACTTGCGGGTTTGAGATTAACATCTGTCATTTGTGAGACACTAACTTGGTTTTTATTTGGCATTTTCTCATTGACATCTGTACTGGCACACTTATGGTGTAATGTGTGCAGATGTAGATAGTTCAGCTTAGGGGTTAATAAAATATTGTTGTGCCTTATCAGATCTCTGACTCTTAAAATCCCTCAAGGACACTTAACAGAAATTTGACCTTTTCAGTTTGTGTAACTTCTGTTGATTATGATGTATAGTCACTGAAGATAACAAGCAATGGTCCTCCAGCCCTCCTTCTGATATAGGAATTGAAGGCTCTATTTTTTCCTGCTTGTACCAATAAAGCTGAAAGACCTTTTCTTACTCTTCTTGTTGGAAGAAGAACTTATTTTTCCAAACTTCTGTTTGTTCTGGCGATGGTGTACCGTTGATGCCCTTCTGTACTGGTCTATTTTAAGACTAAAAGTAGTGTTCTTAAAAATCAAATCCATTTAGGGCTCTAAGTGCAACTGTTATGTACAAGTTGGCACACCTCAGCCTTCTTAAGTTAGGTATCTATAGTTGAATTTTTAAAGATACCTTTAAAGGTTTTAAACTTTTCATTCCAGATCTATTAGTTATTCTGAATATAGAAATCATTACTTAGGGACAACTTTTTTATTGGATCAGGTCCATAATTTCTCTACCCTCCTGTATTTCAGAACGAGATTATATATAAAGTCCCATAACAAGAGCCATGTGGATAGACTGCCCTCCAGTAGTGGGGGTGCTCTCATCCCAGGAGTTTGAGATTATCAAAACTTCTTTGCGTGAAAACAGTCCTGTATCCACACGTATCCATAAATGTCCAAGAGTATCCATAAATGTAATTCATGCTGACAAGCTGCTGAAAGTGGTACTACAGGTGCAGACTTAAGGCAGTGAGCTGGTTTCTGAAAATCTGTTTCTTTATTGTGGATTTCCTGATTATTTTTTTTCATTTAATTAAATTTCACTTCGTTTTTTTTGCTATAGGAAGAAACAGAAGCTAATGATTTCTTCTTTAGTTTATGTGGTGTGCTTAGAATTATAGAAGAATTTGTGTTGGAGTGGTCTTCTGGAGGTCATCTAGTCCAGCCTCCTTCTCAAAGCAGAGCTAACTTAAATGTTAGGTCAGGTTGCTTTTCCGGTTGAGTTCTGAAATGAATCCAGGTTCAACAATCTCTGTGGGCAGCTACCCCCTCATTGTGGGGTTTTTTGTGCAGCTAATTGGAATGTCAGTTGTAGCAATTGGTGACTGTTACCCCTTGCCCTCATTTCTGTTACTCTTGGGTTAATGATTCCTTTCTTCACTCTGTAGAAAGGAGTATTTTTTTTTCTGTTTGTGTGTCAATACTTTCTTATTGCCTTTCTAAGCATCACTTGGGATGCCTTTTGGGAGCTATGAAGTTGTACAGGTCGTGCCATATTATGCAAACTAGATTTCTGATTTAGTGTTGTCTGAATACTTACAATAGTTACAATGTCTCCTCTCCTTTTTTACAGACACCCCTGGGATACAGTGATCAAAGCTGCTATGAGAAAGTACCCCAACCCAATGAATCCCTGTGTGGTAGGAGTAGATGTCCTCGACAGAAGCCTTGATAACCAGGGGAGGTTGCATAGTCACCGACTTCTCAGCACAGAGTGGGGATTGCCAAGTATTGTAAAAGCGGTACGCTTTTATAGTCTTCAGGGGTTATTAAGGGTGGGATGCATTTTTATGTCATCATCCGAATTGGAGCTGAAGTAAAAATAAAAGCTTAATTCATAGGAAATGTCATCCACAAATATCACATAAGCTGTAATGAGTGTGCTTTGTAGGAAGAATATGTTGGAGGCTTTAATATGCCTGTAGTGTGTGTATGTTTATACATGCCTTCCAGACTGGTCTGTGTGGCTGATACAACCTACCAGGATGCTGTCTTGCCAGTGATCACAGTGTTCTGGTATCCATAAATTACTCTGCATGTATTTGGGGTCAATAAGAACTTGACGTGTGTGCATTTCAGTTTGGGTTTTTTTATATTTTAGTACTTGACTTTTTTAATTTTTTAATTTTTTTCATTTCTTCACTTTCAGATTTTAGGAACAAGTAGAACTCTGACTTATATTGAGGAGCATTCTGTGGTAGATCCAGTGGAAAAAAAGATGGAGCTTTGCTCAACTAATGTGAGTGGTAGCTTAAGAAGTTTCTGGTAATTAGTTCTGGAGATTAGATGTTTTGCTCTTAACATTTAGATTAGAAATGTGTTTGCATCTTTCATCAGGAGGTGGCAATTTCCATGTCTTAATTAGCAGCTTAGTTGGCTCTGTTTTTCCCCTCCTTCTTCTTCCCACAAATAGGAAACTTTAAATACTTTGGGATCAAACATTTGTGATTCTGGCTTTAATGTAAGATTATTTCTGAGAATGGATGTAAAGTAGTCTGACTTTTAGGTAAATAACTTGTTCTACATTACAGTGCCATTTGCAACAACAGTTTTAATTTAAAATTCCTTTTTTCTCCAAATGTAAATGGAGTAGAATCCTATATTTTGGTATCCTGGGAACTTGTAGTTATCAGATTTAAAGTGGAGTTGTCTGTGCAGAGCCTTGTCTCTGTACAAGAGGCATTGTCTTTGATGGGTATTTATTTTCAGTACACTCCACGTAGCATTATGGTGGTCTTGGTCTTGGAGAGTCTGTCTGAACTGCATGCCATAAATCAGATAAGACTCAGCACTCAGAGAAAACTAATAGAGACCTGTTTGTGCTTTGTACTGTGGATCAAAACCTTGATTGATGTAATTAGATCTAGGATAGGAAAAGATGCATCACCCTTTATAGGTCTTTTTATTGTCTGTGTGCTGGGTATTATGTTCTGTGTACACTGCTTTCTCTGACATTAAATTGAGGGCTCTACTATTGAGTAGTGCTGTTGATAACAGAAAAATGGAAGGCTGGAAGTGAGGATTTCAGCTCTTTTTTCTTTTTAAGATTACTCTCACAAACTTGGTGTCTGTTGATGAGAGACTGGTTTACACGCCTCATCCTGAAAACCCTGAAAAGTAAGGATATTTGTATGCTTCTTTGTGTATAGGAGACATTATGTTAGTCCAATTCAGTTTAGGTATTAACTTTTCTTTATATTCTCTTACAGAACTGTGCTAACTCAAGAAGCAATTATTACTGTTAAAGGCATTAGCTTGAGCAGTTATCTGGAAAGCTTAATGGCAAACACGATATCTTCTAATGCCAGAAAGGTACATCTTTATTCTGATTTCTCCCTCTCTTCCTCTACCTTTCCTTTTGTTGAAATGGTAATCGTTAGTCATGTATGCTGAATACTATATTTAATTTCTTTAAACTTTGTGCACAGAGTTTCAATTGATTTTTTGGAGGACCTCAGCAAGTAGAATATAATTTCCTAAAGCATGAAAAGGTTTCTCTACTAAATCTTTGTTTTTCAACTAGAATTGCACATCAGAACAAACAAACTTTGATGTGTATGCTACAGATACGCATAGCATACATATATTACTGGTAGGTTGTTCAGGTTTTTTTTCCAAAGCACCTTATTAAACACTAACCTGCTATTTCCAGGGGTTAGTCCTAGTAGTGAATATAACTTCCTTTTCAGCCTTTATAATTTGGACGTAGCAGTTAATGCTAGTATATTTTCTATGCTGCTTTGTCAGTTTTTCCAGTTCCTATCCATTATTGAGCTGTCTCCTCGCCTTTGGCTGAAAGTAAGGTAGTGTAAGCAGAAGCATATTCTTTGAAGAGATGAAACTATGCTGGCTTTTGTAGGTAACACTATACCAGCTCCTCTGTCTGGTGCTTGCTTTTTCTGCTTGGCTTGCAGCCATGAAGCTGTACTTCAGCACAGGCAGATCTATGGGAGTGCTTATTTTGGCCACGTTGTCCTATCCTTCAGGGAAGGTGGGAAAGAAATGGGGTTGCTAGAGAAGCATAGACTTTACTGCCTAACAGCAGGACGAGTGCACCTGAAATCTAAGTTTGTGCTCTGCGTTGCTGGAGAGGTTCAGCACAGTGGGAATCTGGCCCAGGTAATCCCTGCTATGCCAGAGAGCCTGTGCTTTGGCCAGCCCTTTATCCTTGTGAGAGATGTTGCTTGACCAAGGTGGTGTAAGCCAAATTGATAGGACGTATTGACCAACTAGATCAGAAAGGAGAATGTCTCCTTTTCCTCCTTTCTGTGTGCTTCTCCAAAAATAAGAAGAAAACAGGTTAAAGTCAGGGGATGGGGAAGGAGTGATGGGTAATTTCTAGATGCTAAAGAGTAACTGTCTGAGTGCTCTCTGTTTGTTTGAAAGTTGTAAATGGGATGTATGTCAGATAAATTACAATTCTATTCTGATCCAGTTTCTATTTAGAAGTCTGTATGGGGCATATATTCTTGAACGCCAAGTCCAAACCCTGGCTCACAACCAAACTTTGGGCTGACTTGGAGGTAGCAAAGCACTAGGTAGTTGGAATGGCCAGATCGACTAGGCACACTTAGAAGTGCTGGCTGAATTCCTCTTGTGGCATCTGTCACGTTTGCTCTGTTGAGCTTAGGGAAAGAGTGTAAATATTTCTTGGTACCTGTTCAGGTGTTGCCTGATCAAGTGAGAACTCGATTCCTTTTGAAGATTGCTCTCCTGTTCTGCCATTTTCAAGGAACACACTGGCTCACAAGCTTCTTACAAATCAAAAAGAACTTCTTGTCCTTTGTATTTCACTGAAGAATCTTTGGAGATTTTGAACTTGGCATGAATTTGTACTTACTGTTACCAGCCCTTTCTTTGCTACACAGTAACGTACTCTGCTATTACTAGCTCTTACCCCATGCTGTGCTGTGCCCCTGTGCTTTTAGCACCCCTCTTAAACCTAATGAAAGTCACTGAAAAATGTTTGGTTGTTCTGAAGAAACAGGAAGTAAGTCTATTTTGCTCTGAAGTAGAGGTGGCAGATGATGCATTATTATTTTTAATGATGATGGAAAAATCATTTGCCGTATGTTGTAAATCTTTTTTGTGTTACTCCAGGGGTGGGATGCTATTGAGTGGATAATTCAAAATTCTGAAAGCGCTCTAAGCTAGCAGTTCTCCACATCTACAGTTTGTACTAACTAGTGGTAATGCCAGCATTCTTCTTCTTGGTACAGCATTTCAGCTTTCTAGCAAATATGTGCATGGATTGTTGTCATGTGAATTTCATAAATTAACCTGCATGTATGTTTTATATACATTGCATACAGGAATGGCAAACATGTTCATTGCACTGCAGTTGTAGGGAGTGAGAGTAGGTCAGATCTAGACTGGATCAATTAACCTGTGCTTATGCCTCTGGATAACTAACTTGGTGCAGCCATGTCTCGTGCCACCTGTTGTTGCTTATGGTTTGGAAATGGAATGATGGCTGCAGATAAGTAGGCATGTGAATGAGTACCTCCACTAAGTGTTTGATTTGGTCCTGGTCTCTGTGATTTCCCTATGTACAACTGGTACCCGAAGAAATTAATAAATTGGTTAATGACTAGAATTGGCATTATAAAAATGAAACAGAATTGTGCTCTTAGGATGCAAAATTGATTTATTGAAAGAGATTGCCCAACAGGGGTAATCTTTTGCATAGTGAAATTGTATTTGCTTTTCTTATGCCTGAGGAACATTATTGTCCTTCTGTGAACTTCTGTGGAAATCTGTACAAAGATTGAAGCTGTCAGAATGCCAGACTGTTTGTGTTTTTCATTGGTCTTTAGTTTTATTCATTTTGGTAGTGACGTGTCCCTTAAGCAATGTGACTATGAAAAAACTTGACTTCAAGGCTGAGAGAACTGAATGTACTTGCCTCTGTGATACCTCTGTGCAGACTGTTTTCCTTCCATGAGTCAGTGTAGCCTGTCTCTGTCATTCCTGTATTGGCTTATGCTTCAACTAATAAGATTCCTTAAAAAAAAAAGAAAGAAAAAAAAAGAAAAAATCCATTATGCTGCTTCTCCTACTTGAGAACGTTGAGCTTTCTTACACTGCTTACTTTGAGATCAGTGTATACCATGAGTGTTTGCTTTTACGTTCTCATTCCACTAAGCTTTTATGGCTGTTTTTCTGGAAAACATCAACTACAAAGGCTTAGCATTTATCAGTCAGTCACTTAAGCTCTACCAACAAATCTTCATCTGCAGTGTTTGGTCTGCCAAACACGTCATACTGCTAACATATGCAATAAAGACTAATATTATATGCATGCTTGGTTATGAATGTGCTTGCTTAATGACTTACTACAGAATTTGTTGTACAGTATAAAACTTTATAGATCAATCCTCTGTCAGATTATTTTTTTTTTGGTAACTGGGTAGTTCTACAGTACTCGGAGGCTTTGCATCTTGTTCGGATTTGTAAGTTAATTTCCAATGCAGAATATTCCTGAAATCTTCCTTGCAAATATCACAAGTTTATTCTGAGCTGCAAAATACAGCATATAGTGTATGCAGGACTGAGGAAACGTGCAGGCCTATGTAGTCTCAAAAGCTGAAGGAAATATCTTGGTGCTCCAGTTGAATGTAGTGGATTTTTAAATTTTGTTTTATTTTCTCTTGTCAACAAATATATCTACTCAAACACTATGACCTGACTGTTTCATAGTCAAGGCCTGTAAAGAATCTCTTTTTTTTTTTTTTTTTCTACTGATCATTTTCTATGTCGAATTTGTTTGACATTCTGACGAGTGTTCTTTGTGCAATTAGACAAATATAACGTCTAAGCTGTTGCTGCCTTACTCGCTTCTCTCCGCATGTGTCACCTAAGAGAGGACATTTTAACCTGACTTTTAAATATCCAAATGCGTGCTTACTGAAAGATGACTCCCCCTCTCTCCCCCCGCTTTGTTCCTTAGGGAGAACTCCACTCAGCTAATTCACAGCTGGTTACAACTTCTTGCTATGCAGTAGCCTACTCCTGTCTGGGAGCTCTTACCCGTGCTTTGCTGGTGGGCCCAGGTCTTGTGCAGGACGTAGAGAAAGTGGAAGTTCCCTCCTGGTGAAGCATGGTCGGTTTGGCGCTCAGATGGAAGGAACTCAGAAGTTAAATCATACTCTTCTAAGGACTTTTTTTAGCAACCGCGTACTTAAACTGGGCAATTTAAATCATGCTTTCTTGATTATTGTCTGTATTTTTAAAAGGCTTATCTTGAACTAAGTTCTGAAAGATACTAGTTCTGGAGGTAGTTCTGGATAGGGCTGAATCCCTCTTTCTGAGCTCTGGGCAAGAGTTGAACACTTTGTTGTGATGTGTGGATGGCTTTCCTCAGGTCTGCCAGGGCAGATGTAGCAATTAGTGTTTATTCTGTGAGTCCCTATACTTTGAAAAACTCCAAGAGAAACAGAATCAGCCCCTCCCTGAACTTAGTGAGGGTCTTGAGATAAATATGCTCTGACTCGTAGTAAAACTTTATTTCTTTTAATAGGTTACACTTTGCAGCCTGGAACTGGGCTTTTAAAATTATTCCAGAGTAATGTTTCTAGCCTCCAAAAAATCTTCAAGAGTATGTGAGGGTTTTCTTTTTTCTTTTTTATTTTTTACGTTTTCAAAGCTATTTATGCAGATCCTTGTTCATGCTTATTGGTTTATAAACGACAACAGCAAGCTCTGGACACTTCAAGAGATTTTTGTTTGCTTTATCACTTATAATGAATGCAACAAAAATAGTACATCAGAGTTCATAACAACTCTTTATGTGTGGAGGGCTCTTCTACCCCTTTTCCTCAATCTCTGCAGAGGGCTTGAACACAGGCACTGGCTCTCCCGAAGACCTAGGGCTTTTTGGGTTTAAACCCTTTATCTCCAGAACCCCTCTAGACTTGCCCAGAGCCGTGTGGCTCCCGGTTACTGCTCTCCGCTGTCCATACTTCTTATTCTTAGTCAGATAATAAGAGGTGAGTGTCTCTTGGCTTCTCTTCAAGTGAAAAAAGGTCAGGTGTTTTCCCAGTCTGATCCCATCTGCTTGTTTTGGCAAAAGTTGTCATTCTGAGATTGTGGAGCTCTAAAATCTTGCACTTTTATTCAATTAAGATGCTTCTCTTTATTTTCTTGGCTTCACTGTGCGGCTCGCTGCATGCTCATCATGTGGACGTTGGGGTGCAGTTGCTACAGGGTCTTCTTAAGGCAAAAGGTTTTCAACATGCTTATTCTGCTGGATTCCTCAGCTTTTATTAAAACACTGGCTGTCAGTACCTAGCTTCAGGACACTCCCATTCTGAGAACTGAACGGACAAAGACCGAACCTTGATATAAAATGTACAGCTGTAGTCTCTCAGTCTGTTTTCTATGCTGAAAAGTTGCTGTGCGTGAATATAGAATTCAATGCGAGTCCATCCCTGAACTCTTGCTAGATATCAAGTCAATTAATTGCGACTTCAAAGAGCAGAAGACTATCTTTCTTTGTCCTGGATCTTCTCGAAAACTGCCCATCTAACTTGGCTAAGGAAGCTGAGAACGGTATCTAGACTTTGCCATAAATTTGCTGATATTCTTTGAAAGGTTGGGAAAAGCACACAAGCAAAACCAGCTATACCCTTACATAAGGGAACAACTGCTGAATTAGGCTTTTTCCCTAAGTGTGCTACTGGGAGCCCACACCAGTATTGCATTTACTCCTTGCTTATGGGTTAAGCAGATGCCTTTGCAGTGAAGTTTCCATGAGAAGATGCTCAGAAATTATCAGTATAATCTGGTATCAAACTATGCAGGGCATGGAATTAATTTTAAAACAAGTTTCATGTCTGACAGAGGAAAAACTATAGAAACACGAGTGGTGGTGTTGTCTCTGTTCTGATCCTAAATTCCAGTATTTTCCTGGCAGGGTCGGGATGCCCTGGAGTGGGTGATCAGCAAACTAAACACAGAATTGGAGGAGCTGAAGTCAACGCGCGAGGGCATGAAACCAGCCATGGCAGCAGCATCAACAGGAAAATAAAACCAAAAATACCAAGTAACCAACAGAAAAGTTTTACCCTGCAGACTGCTTTGTAGATCTCCCTTCCAAGGCTGATCTGCATATGTTTAATATATTTATAAGAATACCGGATCTGCAGAAAAGTAACCTCATCTGTCATCTCCACAGCAGCTCCTGTTGCCTACTGAAGATTAAATTGACCTCCTGCAGATGCTCTTTTAATTTAAACAATTTATTTTTAACACTGGAAACAAAACATTTAGCACATTTAAAACTGCCTAAATGTGCCTTTTTGTAACAAAGATAGAGAGTGTATTATATTTGCACCATCTTGGTTTTTCGTACTCAAACTTGAAAAGAATGCATGTGTGGTATTAAGGATTTTCCATGTGAACCTTTGTTCTGTGAAGGGCTGATTGGTACTAGAGCACTGAATTTTGTGTTTTGTAATCTGATAGTGTCTTATAACCATTCAAAAGGAATTACGTGAGTCAGAACATGATACTGTAGAATTAGATGTGTATCTAGAGGATCATCCCGAAAAGCTATAACTTATTTGGTACGATCTTTTCCTGTATTGTTTAAATGTGCTGCCTGAACGTGACACACAGATGCTTTACCTCTTAGATGTTTGTATCCAAACAAAGATAAAGTTTCTATTGGTGTTAATAGCCTAGAACAGTTTTTTGGTGGGGAGAAGGGTATAATTTATTTTCATATTTATTAACTTGACCTAGTTCCTACCCTCTATATGAGGAGGAGTAGTAATTCCTGGAAGGTGCTGGAAAATACTTCTCTTATTTATCTCTAAGAAGGGTATTTGTAGGCTACTTGAATGAAGAGACTGTGCTGTTCCACTGGTCCTTGCTCTTCACATTGTGTCTTAACTGAGGGGGAGACTGATACAATAACCAGAAGAGTTGAAATGAGAAATAAGCAGGAAATTTGAAATCCAAAGGTTTCATGAAGATGTACTTTTCATGCCCTGAATGGAGAAAACAAGAAAACAAGAAAAACAAATGGACTCTCCTTTTTGAGTGCTTTCTACTAACTATTGACTACCAGTGTAACTGAATTTTTTTCAACTTTTCCACATTGTTACAAAATGGTTTTAGAGTAATTGTAAATGCTTCTCATTACCTAGAAGAATACTCCTGTAACTGCAGAAATTGTTTCCTATAAAACAGGCATAAGTATATATTGATAACAGCCCTAGCCTTGTCTGATGTTCACAGCATTTTCATATTTGGTTCAGGTGTAGTATATGTTTCTTAGACAGCACTCTGTTAGGGCATTTAAACTTATTTTTTGGTGTGCACACAAAGTGAAATAAGTGTTGGAAGGATGTTTACTCGTTCAAGTGGCAAGCTTGTGTTTAGGAAGCTGTTAAAGAGCATGAGTAACTTCTAAAAAAACTAGAAGAGCAAAATGTGGTCACTGTTTTGATCTGCTATTTTTAAAGTGTCTGTAGCTTAAGGGAAACTTCAGCATTCATATTCTGGTTAGTTTGAAAGTGAACATTAATTTGGGTGTAACTATAGTTTTACTAAATTACGTGATCCTAATGAATAAACTTAATTTTAAAAAATTAATATATTAGTCGAAAGCAATTAAATGAGTAGCATCTATTTATATTGCTTTTTTAATATGGACCTAAAGCCTTTCTTATTTTGGAACAGAAACTTAGAGCCTAAAGTCTGATAGCAGCTTCTTTCCGGAAGATAGGCTGGATAACTTCAGTGCAGGCCGGTTGTTGTGCTTCTCAGAGGAGCGATGCCAGTTCCTGGATAAAGAAGGCAGAAGATGTTCTAGGTCCTGGTGGAATTCTGCTGGGAAGGGGAACGCAGCTGTGGCAGCGCTCTGCGAACGAAAGGAAAAGATGAGTAAGTGTGTGTGCATGTGGAAACCTGTACTACGGCATTTCCAAACGTGCCTACCGGAGGCAGTCTAACTGTCAGGGGGGTAGAGAAGTCTTTGGAGAGGTTCATGTATTGCTTAGGCTTGGAAGAATTGTATAAAGCTGCTTCTTGCGTCAGATTTGAAATAATTGCTTAGTGTTGTCTTAAAGCCGATTGAGTTGTGTGTAGCACCTTCCAGCACCAGCCTGTGTCCCAGAAAAGTGACCACAGGCTCCTCTATTCTGTCTAGGGCCAGACTCCTCTGCCACACCTCAGGGCCAATACCAGTTACGCATCAGTTTTCTGCATTGCTTTCTTCTTCCAGAAACAGATCCTTGCCTGCTTGTGCTCAGTCCTTTTCTGCTTTCCTCCAGGCTCATTGGGAGTGGGGAAGCTTTGGGTAGGAAAATGACTGCTTTCTTCCAGAGGCCAGTTCCATCACCCACCTGCCTCTCTCCGCTGCCGGACAGCGCTGCTGGTTCTTGCCTTGTGACGCTCCTGCACCTCTGGGCTTGTTGATCTTCCTGTGGCTGCTCATTTTGCCAGCGTACAAAGGACCTTGCAGGCAGCCGTCACACTGGGACCAAGTAAGCTCCAGTGTTTAGCAGGTGAAGTGATTCTTAATTTCCAAGAAACTTTCCTGGACACTTTCACTCTTCTGCTTTCTGCTCATCTAGTTTGCATACGGGCTGCCCGCCCTTCTTCTCCCTTGACCACATGACTCTTCTTCATGGGCTCTGGTGGGATCTGTAGCTGTATGTTCAACCCTGCTTAACCAGAGCTTAAATGCTCTGGTTTTGAAGCACTCAATTTCCTGCCCTGGTTCTGTCACTGTTATAGTCTGAGCTGACCCTTGGGGCATTTGGAATTGCTTATCTTGGGCCTTCCCTAGGGAAGCTCCCCCATCTTTTCTTTATTTACTGGAAATGGCTAAAAGATATTTATGAAGTCCGTTTTATGTGGTGTGCATTGACTGAAGGGGGTCTGTCAAAGGCAGAAAGCCACATGTGAGGGAAGGTGCTAGGCTGCTTGTGGGATTTGGTGCTGGTGTATCAGATCTCCAGGTTGGTCAGAAGGCTGCTCACCCTGCCCAGTAACTACAGCTGCATTGCTTGTGCCTGATGGGGGTAGATGGTTCCTGACCACAGGGGAAACAGTGAGGGGAGATGGCAACGGTGATTCCCAGAGTGTGGCAAATTGGGCATTTTAAGCTGTTGAAGATACCAAACTTGAGGTAAACTCTGGTTCCTGGTTGATGGCTGTTTTTCATGCTGGCGTAGATGGGCTCACGTTAGCAACAAAAGGCATTAACTTAAAATAGTGCAATCAAATGCTTTTGTGTGTAATGAGGTTTTTGGGTGTTTGTTGTTTGGGTTTTTTTTCTGACTTGCCCTTGCACGAGTATGAGTCCTCCATGCTCCCCCCATGCTTCTTACAGCTTTTCCCCCACCAGGTCAGCAGCACCATGGGGGAAAAGGGTTGTATTTGTTGGGAAAAGGGGTAATCCTAGTGTAAGTTGCAGTATGCTTGAAAGACTTGCATAAACCAGTAAAGGCACTGAGCTGCAGCACTTAGCGTGTATCAGGAACTGATGTATATCAGGCATTGATGTATGTGACGATGTCTTAAAGTAGCACTGAGTAAGATGACATTCCTTGATGTGACACTTTTCATTTAAAATCTTCAGGTGGAGCAGGGCTTAACGCCTTTCCTATTCTTGCATCTTCCTAGATTGTAAGCTGTGAAGGGCAGGACTCTGTAAAGTGTCTGTGTACTAGTACTATGGTGCTATCTTAAATAAAATTACATCTTCAGTTTAAAAAAAAACCAAAACACTTCTGGGTGTAACTGCTATAACATAAAATGGGCCATTGGTTTTCAGAGACCTCCAGGAGGCAGGTCACGCTTTCACTATGAATTTTTTCAAGAAAAAGGCATTTTTGTGAAGCACAACTCCTGTCTTCTTAGTTCTTCTGCAGCTGAGGTGGTTGAGGGATGAGTCTGGTTTTATTGGAAGGCACTTGTGATTAGAATAGTCAGTAAGGGCTCCTAATTTGGGGCCCTGCTGGTACAAGACTTTCCTGTTTTACTCTTGTACAATTTTGTTTCTAGCCTAGTTAGAATCTGCAGCGGCGAGGGTTGAGGACTCCACCTGCCCAAGCACCGAGGGACGTGCCCTTGCCAGTTGTGCCGGGTAAGAACCGATGCTGGCCGGCTCCACAGTTACCTCAGGGAAGTGAGAGCAACACACTGCTGTTTTAAAGAGCTTTTTATTAATAACGCATAAACAAGAAGTTGCATTTCAGTACCACAGAACATGAAAACAAGCAAGAAGATGATTCTATTGCCTTTCTCTGTCAGAGCTGATGCCCCAGGTGTCCCTGAAGCCGCACAGTGGGTACAGGCGCAGTGACAGCAGGGAAGGGTTTGTGCTTTGGGCCTGGTAATGTCCAAAAAGTGCATTTCCCGTTTTGGATTTTCCTTGTTCCTTCACTGAAGGAGAGGGGGAACCAGCTTTAACAGAAATACAGCACAAATACACTCCTCGTGCCTTTGTTTTGCTTTCTGACTCACAGGTAACGTGGCCACCAGCCCCTGCAGTAGAACTGTGCCCATCTTCAAGGTCTAAGCCAAAGCCTCGGCCTCCACAGAAGCCACCAGAACGCAGCCCCTCTCTAGACACGTGTCACCTGGTCCTTATTTCCACCAAGCTTGGGAAGCCAACCTCCTGCAGAAGTTGCAGCAGCTCGTGCCCGTGTCCTTTAATTCAGGATTTGTCACCCTGTGACAATGCCCCACGGGAGCTTTGCCCCATGGCCTGTCCTGCAGCAGCCGAGGCCTGGCCCTCCCGCTGCTCGGCGCTGACCTGGCTCTGGTAAGGGACGGGCAGGGAGGGCCCGTAGCTTTGTGTCAGCGCTGCAACTGCAGGCCAGGCACCAACAATGTATTTTTTTTTTCCCCCACATTGTATGATCACCTTTTTGCACTTGCAGGGTTGCGTTTTTTTTTAATCAAATGGGTTAATAATCAAACAGGTCTTTTCCAGCTGTGACTGTAAACGAAGTAGCCTGGTACCTTGAAAGACTGTCTCCTTAAAAATGGATTTTTTATTAGCTATGGAAAGGTCTATTCCAAATGGCTTCCTCTAGAATTGCTCTATAAAAACCATCTCGATGACCTTTGCAGAGTGCAGCATCTCCTGTCACTATTTCAGGGCACAAGGCCCAGGCTCCCCATGGCTCCGGCACTGGGGTCAGGCAGGAGCTGCTCCACAAAACAGCCCCACCAGAGGAGAAACAAGAAAGTTACTGAATTGCAGTTCAGTGCAAATCAACAAGCAACCCTACCACCACATGAAATTTGCTGTGCCTATTTGATAACTTGTTTAGCTCATTGCTTTCAAGAGGTGGGATCCTGTTTGCCCTGACACGGAGCACTCACTTCTCAAAGTTCTTTAAGCAGTTGTAACTCTTTATGGACCCTGGTTTTGCAGACAGGGACCCCGGGGCGCAGAAAGGCTCACAACTTGTGCCAGGTAAACTGAGCAACAAGAGCAGCTCTGGGATTTTTCAGCGTCAAGCTGAAAGAGGGGACTGCGGCGCTGGACTCAATGGAGCTGCCGTGAGGACAACACTCATGGAGTTACACTAATGTGTGAGGAAAAGGGTTCTGTGTCTTGTGTATCACCTCAGACTGAGCTGATGTCCCTCTCTGGTTTGTCTCCTGCCAGGAAGTTTTGGTGAACAGTAATTTCAGGAACCGAAAAACGTGAAACACAGTCATAAAAATCAGACAGAAACAACAAAACAGATCTTTATAGCTGGAATCAATAGTCATAAACATTCTCAGATTGGCCTTAGGATACATACATACAAAAGAAGAAGAAATAAACCACAGCAGCTCCAAGTTATCAACATGGAAATACTATAAAATTTTACGGTACCATTGACATAATCCATATGCTGTAGCACCAGAGCGTACAGTCGCGGCACCTTTCCCTCATGCCTGTGTGCTGTCACTGTTTCACAGATGAGACCCAGCTCCTAAGACAGACATTCCTAAAGGATGTAGGGAGCTGCTGGATGAGGTAAAGCACAAAGGTAGCCATCAGGAGCCTAAAGTTGGAGCTTCTAAATTAGTTTTAACCTGTAGAGCATGCAGCCAGTGACTAACAGTGGAAGCTGATGCTGAACTTGCCCGGGGGGAAAAGGGAGCTTGAGAGAGAGAGAGAAGAACGTAATAGTTGTGCTAACGATGTTCTCTCCACTTCTGGCTTAAAAACTAAAATCAACCAATTAAAACCTCTCCAAAAGACTGCCAGCGTTTCTCCCAAAGCTGAGGGATGGAGATTTCCCAAAGCCCATAGGTATGAGAGGCAGGACAAGCGTGCCTCGGCTACAGAGCGGCAGTGTTGGAAGCAGCAACACATAGGTAACAGAGAGAGCGGGCTGGGAACGGTGACTCGGTGCTAATCACATCACTGGGGTTACACAAGCAGTTTTATTGCTATTCTAAGAGTACTTCAACATGTTTCCCTCCCTTCATGCAACCCAGCCAGAGTTCAGCTGTTATTCAATCATTTTCATTAACAATTCTTTGCCAAAAGAAACGTCTGACTGATGTTGCAAAACCATGAAAGCATGAAGAAGACAAGGAGAGAGGCAGAACCTTTAAATCAGCTTCCATGTGAATAATTAACACAGACAAAGGCTAGAATGGAAAGGCATTTTATTTTCGTCAGGTAACAGCCCCTCCCTGTATAAAGGAAATAATGGGGAATAGGGGAAAAAAGCAACAAACCCCCAAAGCCATCTTGTCACCGTGAACATCTGAAGCTTCAGGTTTTGGACGGGCGGGAGCTGCAGCACAGGCCAGCTCGCCTCCTCCACCGCCACCGTGAGGCAGAGCTGCTTCTGAATTCTCCACAACCAGGTTCACATACCAAACAAAACTGATGCTGCCAGTGGCGTTTGTCTAACTCCCCGGGTCTCCTATGACATATTTAAACAGACCTTGGGCATATTAATAAAGCTAAGAAAAAACTTTAAAGATTTGGAAAAAACCTCCTGGGAGGGAGCTCACCGTGCTGGTCCCACGTTCTTTCCAGCAGTAATTCCCTCTAAAATGCCTACGGAGTGCAAACTGTAGTAGGGGGCTGAAAGCGTTAACTGTAATAAAGAGAATAGCCAACACACATATAAATAAGACTCATTTCCTTTTTAAAACATCATGGGAAAGTCAATTCCCACTGCATGATCCATGGAGGCTTCCTAAATATTAATAAATATATTACAGGTATTTACAAGCTTCTGATTTCCTCCTCTGAGGCTAACGTGAAGTTCAGAGCGTAAGTAGGACATGCTGGGCAGCACCGCGGGGCGCGCAGGCAAACAAATGGCTGCAGTGGATTTGGGATGCTAGCGCAAGCAGCGAGATGGAAAGCTAAAAATAGCCCACTCTGCCGAGATCCAGGCAACAGAGCTCCTTCAGGCTCCGCGTGACAAACCAACCCCCGCTTCCCCTGCTGCCCAACGAAATGCCAGGGTAACGCGGAGCAACCGTGGCCGAGAGGGAGGGGGGAGGCAGCCCCCTGCACCACCTTTCCTACTGCTTGCTGCAACGTCTCGCAGCAGCCCACAGGGATTTTTCCAGGGAAAACGGCAGGTATCCATGCTCTGCCCCACAGCAGCTCCGCATAAGCAACACGGAGCAGTCCGTACCACCATGGCGGCGTTTGGTGTTCACACCTGGGCTAGCAAAGAAGAGCCTGGCCTGAGCCAAGGGCTACGGGCCATCCTGGGAGGGCAAAGCTGGATCCCGAGGCTCTGCTGCTTCCCCAGAGTTGTCCTGGACACTGCTGAGGCAGAGGGGGACACAGGCGTGCCACAGGGACTCGTTTCCCTCTGCACACTCAGGACTCAGCCCTTGGATCCTGCCTGCTCCACAACATCCTACATCCCTCTCTCAGGGGAACATAAGCACACGGGATACCTTGCACCTCAGCAGCCTGAGGATGCCAGGGGAGAGGGCTGCCCGCAGAGGACTGAGCGACCGTAGCGTGTGGCTGGGGCATCTCCAGGAGAAAATGCTAAGAACAACAACGGGGGAGACACAAAGCGAGATTTCACGCCTTTCTTTCGGTCGAGTTTTCCTGATGCACTGTGCAGCAAACACACGGCCGGGTTTTGGCACAGAAATGAGAAAAAGTGCTGATGTGACTGAGATCAGGTGACCCTTCCAGCAAGAGCAGAGCTCTCCAATGAGCCTGTCTGTGCTGCTCACCCCCTGCCATCCTACAGCCTCCTCTCCTGCCAGTACTCCAGGTGCTGGGACGTGCCCGCTTCCAGAGGCATCCCGAGGAGAGGGCCAGGAGAGCTGACCTTACACGGGACAGCTACGATGGAGAGTTAGCCCTGAGCCCTGGTTTTCCTCTTTGCATTGGTTCAGCAAAAGTTAAAAACATTCTTTCAATAAGCCCTGCATATGCCAAAATTCTCATTTTTCCAAGGGGGCGTTTAAAGAAAAATAAAGACGGATGAGTCCCTGGGAAGGTTTAAGGAGACTTTTGCATGTGCTTTTCAAATCAACTTCAAAAGATATGACACGAGTGCCTGCTCCGAAGGCTGCAACGTAACATGGAAATACGCTTTGAAGGGGAAGCCTTGTTCCCCTGGGCAGAGGAGGCAGCCCACAGCGGGGCTGGAGCCCAGCTACCACAGGGGAACCAACCAGCCCCGGTGCCCCACGGCCTCCGGGCTGTGCCTTCCCGGGGCTGGGGGGGCTCTCTGCCTTCTCCTGGGCTTATCGATGCACGAGATTCGGACGGGAGAATCTGCTGTGATTAATACATCTTTAAAATCATGTTACGGAAATCCAGACCCAGCTACTTTGGAGCAGTTCTGAGGTATCTCTCATTAACTTGAAGTATAGAAATGTTAATAAATAGATCTGAAACTTTTCTGCTAGTTCATTCTATAATACACTGCTATATAGATATTAAATATGCCTCAGGGTATTAAAAATTTTATGAAAAAGTTACAGTAGTTGATTTTCAAGTATTAATATCTTGGCTATGTTAGCTTGTTTTTAAATACCAAAATGATCTGGCCCCAAATTATTCACTAAACTCTGGCTATGCCTGAATTTAAAAAAAGTATTTAGAATATATAATAAAAAAAAAGTGCAAAAAAGCATGAGACGTCAGTTAACATTGTAACATTCTTGGAACTTCTAAACACCTAGTCTAGCACTCTTTCGTAGGTGAATCAAAAAGGGAAAAAGAATGAAAAAAGGTAAAAGAAAAAAAAAAGAGAGAGATTGCTCCCAATCTGAGACAGCACCGTCCCAAATTTCAGCAGAACACGATTTTTTACAGCCAAGTTATAAACCCCAGAAAAAATGGGGTTCTCAGCGGATATGCTGTCAGACGTAACTATAGCAGTATTTGTGTGCTCCATTATGATACAAATGTACACCTTACCCACCATTTCCTCTGAGTAACAACGAGAACAACTTTACAGGTGTTCAGGTAAAATTAGAAGCCTCCCTTATTTCCCATCCTCCCCATAAACTGTACAACTCTGCCTACTACTAAAATCCACTGCTACTAGTAAGTCATCGTCATACATTCAAGATAGAAAGTAAACTACTAAAACCTGCTCAGGAGACACTTAGAAGTACACTAAGGCTTAAAAAGTACCGCAGCTCAGGGGAACGGCCAACCTCACGGGCAAAGAGCTTCACAGCATTATTTTGCCCCAGGACACAGACTGTAGAGTCCCGTGCTGAACCCTGATCTGAGAGCAACCAAAGCAGTTCAAAGGAAGATGGTTTTGACCCCAGCTGCTGACGCTCCATGCCCGGTGCGCGCTGCAGCACTTTGCTGTTTCCACTAGGACGTGAGCATCCCGAGGGTGGTGATGCCAATATGACTTACTGTTTGCTACCCTGCTAACACTGACACCTTGTTAGATTTGGTTCTCCATTAAACGTGACGTTTTCAGCTCATCTCCTGAAAAATGATTCAAAGCGTGGTTAAAAAAAAGATTGAAAGCAAGAAAAGGCTTTCTAGTTTCAACGCGCACATACAAAAGAGGCAACAATCTCAAACTACTGATTTTCTCCCAGTGGGAGCAGCTGACCCGTGGGGTATCATTCTGCACAGACCCACACACAGCGTCCTGCGTCCCCGGGAACCGTTGGAGTAGGAAATCCTGTGACCTAATGCAAATTCAAGCCAGTCAGGTGAAACTGAAGCAACGGGATGATAATCCAGTTTCAGTGACCTTGCCCATGGATGATGACCTCATGAAGACGAAAGCAAAGGAAAAGGCACAAGGCTCAGATCTCATTGATAGTCCTTTCCGAGGGGCAGTACTCGGAGGTTCCCGGCGATGACATGTAGAAGGACTGTGTTTTCCTTTTTAACCTGGCTCGCTTGTTGGCCAGGGACAGGCTGCGCCGGCTGGAGTTGATGATTTCTGAAATAAATTTCTTGCAGTCCACGCACACCTCCATCGTGCTCCAGTCCTCCATTAATTCTTTGGGAAACTCTTCGTGTGACTTATCCACAGATTTGGACCTTGAGGTCAACCTGAAAGGCAAAAGAGCAGGACGTGTCACATTATTTAGCAGCAAGGCAGCGTTTTCCTTCAGGACACAGCACATCAGAACGGTCTCGATTTAAATCTTCCTTTTTCCTGTCCCAAAAATGACACCAGGAGACCAAACACCAGAGAGGAAAGCTTCTGCCAGCAAGATTGCAGGGTCACTTACTGAGGGTATGTGTAACATTTACCTTAAAAACCACAATCTTATTAATAAATATAAAGAGACAATGCGTTTGGCTAATTTGACACAGCATCATAGCACTAGTGATTTATGCAGAGGTTTTATGCTGTAGATGACCTCAAAAAGGAGCATTTCTTTTATATTTAGTTTTTCAGATTGTCTGCACATAAGATATAAAACCAGTAGATAACTCGATAATGTCAAAGTGAAAAAAAAAATAGTTAAAATTAGAATTAGAAAAATTAGGGAAAACAAAGATAAATCTGTGGAAGACATCATTGAATTCCCATTCAGTGAGTGATTCTAAGCCTGCAAAACTTATCTCCAGAGAGTCTATTCACACCAGAAAAAAGCCATGCTAAGGATATTTTTTGGGAGGTGCTACAGAAACACAGTTGTTCCAGACTCTCATTATTTTTCACCTGTAAAGTGAAAAAGGTTTAAGCCGTGCTGTTAGCATTGCTATTTCTGTAAGTCAAAGCAATGAGCGGAAGAGACATGGATTTTCAGGCTTCGGAGAAGTTCCTACAAGCATTAGAAACATTGACAACCACAAAACAGGTAGACAGCATCTTCTTTATGAATGATAACTCAGCATGAAACACTTTGGAAGCGCTTCCAGGAGACACAACGTGAGCTAGGGTTGTTTCTCACCTGGACATGCTCCGCAGTGATCGGTGGTGACTGGTAGAGGGTTTCTCTGGCCTCATAAAACTTTCTCCTCTTTGCAAGGTTGAAGGTCCCAGTGAGAAGATGGGGAGAGTAGAATATGGCTTTGATGGCAACCGCATCTGTTGAGAATAGCAGGAGGAACATGCAGTATCATTACAAAGATTACTGCTTTTTAGAAAGAATCTAGCCATAAGTTTGTTGACTTACCTTTTTGCAACACTGTGAGCATACAGGCCTGTGGAAGAAAGCAACGGCATGAATCATTTCACTGGGAAAAATTACATTTAAATCAAGAATAATGGATAAATGTTTTCAGGAGTTCGAATCCTCCCCCATCCTCCCATTAAACAAACATTTTTATTTTTAAAGTTTCTTCAGTGTAATAACTTCAGTTGTAACATGAGGCCAGAAGCAGGGAGAAATGCTAAACAAGAACTACGGCTAAATTAAAAAATAGGAAAAAAACAAAATGAAAGAGCTGTTTTTCCTCTAAAGAAACCTCCTTTGGTAACTGACACAGTAAGTCAGTGATTCCATAGATCTCCAGACTTACTGGCTCACTGCACAACTTAAAATTCTTCATTTTGCCTGCAAATGATTCCTTTTCCCTTCTCCCCCCACCAACACTCCAAAAATAATCCAAAAGGTAAATCGCCTGAAATGTTTTCCCCAACAACAGAGATTACGCAACTGTTGACTGGGGAGTCTGAATAAATTCCATCCACTGTCCCATGAGCATAAAAGACAAATGAGTGTTTATTTCACTCATTGAATAAAGAGTTTCATTCGAAGGAAGCCATTCTGTCACTTGGGAAGGAACTGGTTTTGCATAATTTTTTTAACATCAACTGTTACAGAAATAAAAACAACAGTATGCAGCAGAAACAACTGGACGTTTCTAATGTATAAATCAGCATTTTTCCTTCTGAAATTGTACTCATTTATTAACAGATATTGAATATTTACCTCTTACAGAACTGACAAGTGTAAGACCAGGTAAAGAACGAAAATCTTCTTGTTCGACAGCAAAAGCAGAGCTAAAAGAAGAACAGAGGAGTCCACAGTGTTAGGTAAAGACCTGCACAATAATGACTTCATCTGTCAGTCGCCATAAGTGAGACCACAGCTGCAGTACCACATCCACTTCTGGGGCCCATACTTCTAAGATGATATTGAAAAGAATGGTCTAGAGTTGTATCTTCATATATTTAGAAATACTCCTTTAATTTTTAACATGAATTAAATACTTGCCAGTTAATTATTAACTTATTTTTACTCCTTCCTCACTGATTTTTCTGTCACTGCTACACAAAAAAAGCAATGGGAAGGTAAGCGTAACAGCAGTAAGGAAGGGTAACTTACAGCTGAAGAACACAAGAACAAATGGGCATAAATTTATCCATGAATACGTTTAGGCTGGAAATTGTTCCTAACCGTGTGGGTCAGGCTCTGGGACACAAAGTTTTCGCCTGTGATAACATTTGATGATTTACTTCCAATCCTACGTTCCTGAACACTAGAGGAGGTGCAGGAAATAGTAATCTTACTTGAGGAAAACCTTCTTTATAGTGGGATAATTCTATTCAGTTTACTCAAAGGAAGATGATACACTGAAATCCAAAGACTCAAGTGAGGCTAGATAAATTTGTTTGGAAATAAAAGTGAACAATTTTAATAGCGGGGCAAATCAATTAAAGCATCAACTTACTTTGAGATTTGATAAAAGCTCATTACATCTTAAAATTAAATCTGCATAATAGACACAGGTAGGCCTGTAGGTGAAATACACTGTGAAGTCAAAACACAATTGCTGGAGTTGTTCAAGAAGCACAGGTCAAAAGTAGAAGAAAAGGACACTGATTCTACTGGTAAATACCCATACCCAATCTGCAGTTTACATAAAAAAAACCTGTTAGTTAATGGATTATCTAATATTAAAGCTTATTCTGGAGTCACATGTTGTCCGACTTCACAGAATCACAGAATTGTCTAGGTTGGAAGGGACCTTTAAGAACATTTAGTCCAAGCATCAACCTAACTCTCCAAACCATCACTAAACCATTTTTCTCTGGTCTTTTTCTCTGAAGGCTTTCATTCTCTCTTTGCTTGACAGTGAGGATTCATATGAAAAACCAGCTGTAATTTCCTACCGCTAGCTGCTACTCTATTTTCTAGAATAGAAATACTGCAGAAGGCATGGGGCAGAAATCACTTTACTCAGTGAAGTTTAAAACATACACGTACGCTCTGATAATTTCAAACACTACTGCATTTTTATAGACAATCTAAATAAATAAGGTATTTTCATGAAAAGTTTTGATGTTTCTGCACAAAATTCAAGGGAGCTGACCCGTATGTTATACGTTTAGGGGGAGATTGGTGGATGTTCCTTCGTCTCCAATACAGGGTAAGAAACAAATGTGTAAACAGGAGGCCTGTGGCACCAGCCTCCTTCAATAAGCTTCAGAGCCTCCACAGACCCAGCCCTACCTTTCCTTTCTTGAGAGCAGTGTAGACATCTTTGTATTGCTGGTACTTCTCCAGCTCTGCCTTCACCAGCACCTGACGGATGTGCATCACCTCCTCCACCGTCAGAGCCAGACATTCCACCGGGTAACAGAACTCCTCCTGGAACCCAAAAACCCCATATTATTTCAAAGTCAAATGGCTTCTTCCAGACTTCAACCTAGACAACCAGCCACCTGGTTAGTAACTCCAGCAATAGAGGGTTTCTCCCTTCAAACTGGAATAGCACTGGCTCATTCATGGGCATCACATGAGTTTCAAACCGTGGGAGACTGCGTAAGTGTGATCTAAATGGTCTGATGCTCAGCCTTCACAACAATGACAGTTTTCTTCATTTTAACCCCCCAAACCACCGGACCCTGTCTGCGTTTGTCTTTTATTACAAAGATTTGTTTCAAATCAATCAACGTTCGGCTTTGTAATTTGAAAGGGAAAAGGTAATTTGGCAGACTGTATTAAGTACATTGTTGGAAGTCACACAATTTCTCTGAGACTTTGTGGTGCCCAGAGTGGCCAAGAAAAGTTGTTAGTAGCCCATTCTAGCAGAAATTTTTATTCAGTGGTACCACATCTCGGTGCTCACCGGATCAGAATCCCACCAAGACTACAGAAGGTTATGGCAGTTCAGGCAGAAGAGGTCTCCTTTCTGCCCCAGGAAAGTAACAGCACAATTTAAGCTTTATAGAATAATCTCCAAATATAAAGCAGGAAAACTGCATTATTTGCATATGTTGCATTATTAATGTCAGAGACTCAAATAGAGACCAACAACACAACTTCCCACTTAAAAAAATTTGTGTCTGTTCTGCATTACAGCATTTAGGATGTAGAGAGCTCCTGAATTTGGTACCAGAGAATAAAAAGCACCGACCCAATTTGTAATCCAACCCTGTAGTTGATTATACATTTCCAACAGAAAGACAGAAACCTCTGTGGGAACTCCCATCGCTTTATGCCTAGCGACCCTTTTCAGTCAGCCCGGAGGGGCTACTCCGGGGTAATGACAATGACATGTAATGCTCTCTGAATAAACGAAGGAAATTTCTCCTGCAAATACAAAGACGTGGCTGACAGTTTGGAGATCTCGTTTACAAATTGAAGTGATGAATCGGATTAGCAGTGAAATGCTCCATTTCCATGTACTCAGAGGTCTGTTCTGTCTTTCCATTAGATTAAAAAGAAAATCTTTCTGCGTTGCAGACCTGGCAAACATTAGCATTTAGGAACCACCACATTTTTAAAAACTGTTGTCTTACCTATCTAGAAAGGGAACACAAAGAAACTTCACTCTGTTTAAGGTACCCCACAAAAGACTAGAATTGAGTGAACTTTGTTAGATTTGCCAGCTAAACCTTTGGGGCACAGAACGCCTGGTTTTCGGGAAAGAACAAACTACATCAAAAGCAACTGCAATTTGCTCTGAGGTGTGAAACTGCACAGCCCAAACAAAATCCCCTCTGTTCCTTACGAGCAACCTTACAGCTAACCAGCAGCTCTCAGCGTTTCTCTCGGGGTTCTTCCCATAGCAACTGCCTCGCCATGGAGAAGGCACGGCCGACGGCCGGGGCCAGCCGGGAGAGGAAGTGGGTGGGAAAGCGGGATGCACACAATGCCAGCAAAACCCCTCAATTCTGCATCGTGGGAGACTGGGAGAAACTGTCCAAGGTGAATGAGGCTGGCTGAATGCCCGTCATCAATCAGAGCTTTAAGTCCTTTAGAAATAAATTTCTTACTTGAAGCTCTTCCTTCCCCCTCATGAACGCCCATTCCTTTAATTTACAGAACGATGACGTCAGGGAATATTGCTCCTTTGAAGAAAGTCTGCGGATCTGCTATGGGTGTAGAGCAGGTACTAGGGGAATAGTGTGGGCCTGTTGTTGCACCAATCGAAAATTATTATCGCTAAAGCAAATAGAAATCGCTAGCAGGCAACAGGGGAAACATAGAAAATGTTCACATGTTTAAATGCTAATGTTTTAATTCCAGAGGTTACACAAGGACAACAAAATGTTAATGCAACATTAATGAAAGATAAATATTATGCTGGTTTCAGAAAACGGCTTGATCATTATTTTTTTTTTCCTTTTCGGAATAGAAATAAGTACACGAGAAAATCTTTTGTTTCAACACTAGCTCTAAGGCACTGAAATTAATTAAAATTAAGCTGAGCTCTGACTAAATGTCATTAAACAATGATGCTTTGGAGTTATTGCTCAAACTCCCAACAATAATCTGCACCCAAGTTAGGCAGCTCCAAGAGAGAGAACTTCAGCTCTCTGCAACATTTGCATACAACAGAATATACTAAAGACAAAATGTGGTTGGAATGGTCTTGATTTTCTGGAATTGTACTCAATACTCATTTTAATAGTAAAGATGAATCAATATTCTTATTTTTAAAGGGAAAAAAATCTTACTTAGAAAATACTATCTTGGACTGGAAGTTTCCATGGTCCTCGTGAGAATTGGTTTAACACTTTGACTTTGCAATCTTATTATATACACCATAATAACTTAAGGTGTATGTGTGTTATGTGTGTTTTTTTCTTTATATTCAGGAAAAGCAGGTAGTAAGAGTTACATATCCATAATGTGAAAAAAAAGTGCTTTGTAGGTCATTCTCAGCATACATACTCCTAATAGGTCCTTATGACTAACACGTTTTTACTCTAATATATTCCTTGTAAAAATTCTCATCAAAGGATGTCAGTAGGCATTCAAATGAGCTGCCCTAGTAAACTGCAATATGAACAAGTGCCAGATTTGTCTCTAAAAATTAGTCAAGTACTCTAAACTCTTGTTGCTTTTGCAGACTAAAAGTTTCTAGGAAGTCACTGGGTATCTGAACTATAAACTCTCCTGCAATAGGTTTTACACTTTCACTCACCGGTCGGGACATGAAAAAAAATTAAATGATTCATGTTTGTTTCTACATAGGGGTAAATGAATTCATTTTTCTTTTCAGTGGATTTGCCTTCCTGGTACATAGTTATTAGTTATTCTGCAAGTTCTGATACGTAAGTGTGCTGAGGACCAACACCATATGTAGGTTTTCAAGTAAAACAGATTGCAAATGCCCTTCCATTCTACAGTGTATCATGTTAGAAACATAGAACCTTATTCTTTTCAACACAGTCCAAGGATTACAACAGCTTTGCTGGACTTTTGCTGCAGGATCTTCATGTGCTGTAACATTTAAGGTCTGTCCCATTGATAATCTTGTGATGTTGCATTTTTAGTTTGCTGTCCTTTAGAACTGATTTCTTTTCCCCGTGAGGTGATTGAAGACACACAAATATCCTACACACATCGAAATCAACGTCAATCAGGTGCAATGTCCCAGCCTAAGCTTTAATTCTTGCCACAGCTTAGGAAGTGCTCCCCTAGGAGGGAACATGCTGGTGAAGGTGATTTCCAAAGCCAGCAAAAAGAGGCAAACCTTTGCGGGTTTCCACCTGCTGGCAAAAGCTCTCTCACAGAGATAGTACATAGCCCCTGCCACCCCGCACATGGCTGCTTCAACGGGATGAGAGCTGAGCAGAGAAGCTGTTTGCATAGTTGAAAAAAGTGGTCTGAAAGTCATCCTTGGAAATAAACGGGTTATCCTAGGAACCTGAACAATAGATAGGAAGCAAAGAAGCGAATGCTGTGTATGAATGAAACCATTAGCTTTGGTCCTTTGGGTCAGGAAAAAAAAAAAGATAATAATAATAATAATAATAATGAAAAAAGCAAACAGACTACAAAGGCATCCATATGTACATCTCAGGACACTGGCTTCACCCCACTGTGTAAAGCACCAAGTCAGCTCACTATAGCACGGACACCACCAGGGCCGAACCCCCAGAATCACTGCCCTGCCTTTCCGTGTGGCACCGGGAGGGTGACATATCAAAAGGACTAATTTTGGCATTTTTCCAAGTTTGTTTCCCCTCCCCACCTACTGAGGTCTAACTCTGATGAGATGCCAGTTCACAAAACCATCGTTAGTATGCAAGACAGAGCAGTTTCTTGCTAATCCTGCGAAGAGACTGCAGCGAGCCCCTGCCTGTTTTCAGGGGCACTGAGGGCTATTTATTGACGAGGTCTCTTTCACCTTGGAGAGAAACTGCGGCCACGGGAGCAGGTGATAAGAAATGAAACTCCATCAATCCTGGAGGAAGGGATGAAGAAGTATGAAGTCAAATAAAAAAATAAATAATATTCTACACGTATTGAGAAGCGCTCGCTCCAGGAAGGGCAATGTTACATATGCAGCATCTGGCGCAGCCACTGAAAGAAGCTGGCGTCTCTCAGGGGAAGGAAAGACTTGCAGTAAACCAAAGCGTGGAACTGGGCCGGTGCCAGCATATCAGAAACCATCTACCAAAATGAAAAACAAAAGTATTGTGGGAGTTGTCCGTCACACCCTAGAGGGCACCATTGCCAAGTTAAAGAATTAGCACTCTAGGCATCAAATAAAATCTTATTAACACAACATCATTTCACTACTGATTTTCTTCCTCGCTTCATAGTCAAAACCAAGCTGGGTGACAGTTCTCTAAAGATTAAAAAAAACCCCAAACCACCAGAAAATCCAAGCACAAAAGAAATTAGCAAACCCTTTCCCTTGTGTTCCCACATTAGTCTGACTTATCTAATGTCTTTTTCTCCCTTTTCCTTTAGTATTTTTAGGGGGGAGCAGAATAATTGAATTACTTTTTCTGCAATTGTTTAATTTTGTGTATGTTCTTCTAGGCATATGTCAGTGAACAGACTGATTGAGGGAAAATATGTATGTGGGCAAAAAAGTCCTGTTAAGAACTTGGTTGACCTACTTGAAGTAACAGCCTCGTATATAAGATTTTTAAGTTGCACAATCCCCTCCCAAATATCAGTACAAGGATGTAACATATTTAGATACACTAAAAGTGTGATGGAGCAAATGCCTCAGTATAACATATAATGCTTTCTCCCCTCCTCCCTTTAAGCAATATCCCTGTGAATGATTCCAGGCCTATCAGAAAATAAAGCTTGTGCTTTCAGACACAGCAAGTGCAGCAGGCGATGGCAGGGCAATCCATTTTAGATGGCAGTGTCTATATGTGCATGCTGAAGGTACCCTCCAGCTCGATTCTGCTGCAATACATTCTGCTCCAGCTTCACTCTGGCAGAAGTCAACTTGTGCTTTGTGTTTACCAACATGCTACCTGACCTTCACCTGGAATGAGAAACTGCCCTCTACTTTGAAGGATATAATAAACAAAATCCAGCAGACCCTCTGGAAAGAAGAGGAGGAAGTGTGTTGTGGGAATATTTGGAGATTATTTTCTTGTTACCCTTCAACTTTATCATCTAATAGGTTTGGATCCTGGCCACCATCTCTTGGGCCAACAAGAACACTCTTCAAAGCCCATTAATACCACTGCACTAAAAGATGGGGTGAGTGAAAATTCCCTTCCTTTCAACAACCAGGATGTGTTTATCGATTTCTGTATTCACCAGCACCTCATGGGGCATACTTCAAAACCCTGCTGGTAGGAAAAAAGACGAGGAACATATCCTGCATGAAATCACAAAGCACTAATCAGTATGTCAGCATAAACGAACCAGGATTTCATACCCTTTGCTGTTTATACTCTGTTGGAAAACAGCTCTCAATTAAAGCTAATTGATCAAATGCACTGTACTTTCTTTTCAAGCAGTAATACAGTTTTTTGCCTCAGTAACTTCAACAAAGCAACACGGACAAACTTTGATTTAGATTACGGAAAGAGCTTTCACATGTATAAACATTGCCACACAAGTTCTTAAGGTGGTAAGAAAAGAAACCATTCCATTCATTCAGCCATTAACTAAAATACTTCCAACAACTAGAAAATTCCCCCAAATCCCAAAATAGATCCACTGCTTTGGAATCGTCTCTATTCAAATGGAAAATCAGTAAGGTGAAGTTTATCTGTTTTGGTAACATTCTGAAATAAAATCAAGACACGTGGCTTTACCCAGAGTCCTAATCAAAGTGCAAATGTTTTCTGAGGCACCTGTACCTGGGATTTTGGATAAATATGCTAGAGAGACATAGGTCAAATCTTGATTTCAAAACGTCTTTAGTAGCCAAAGGCTGTTTCTGAATTGAGGAGTTTTCTTTGAGTCAAGTTCTAATCACACTGAAGCCAAGTTTTAATTTTCATGATACCCTTAGCATGCCTCTTTTTCTCTCTCCTACCACCCACTCCACTTACAAGTGATCTGGAGCTCTGTTTTGAAGGTGGTAGGAACTGTCTCACATTGGTTGGCGTTTCCTTTTCAATGGAGTGTCGTCTCTGAGGTGGCTGCCGTCTCTCAGGCTGTGGCGTAGATGATATGGGCAAGAACTTTGGAGGCACTAAAGATTCAACCAGTACAGAAAAATTAGTTCTGTTGGATAGCATTGCTCAGTACTTAAAGCAGTCACTGACTTGCTAGAATTTCCACTACTGGTGGCTGAAGTTACACATCCATACTCAGAACATCTTCAAGACAGGTCCCACACTCACCACAATTTGCAGGTTGAGAGAACAGAAATATTCATAAACTTAACAAATATAGGCATGCTACTGTCTAGTTATCATTGTATATAAATTCAGTGCTTCGGGATGTTGGCTTATTCCACTTATTTCACCATCGTGCACACAAAGTACATGCACAGATTACATGTGTCATTACAAAACCTTTCCAGTGAAACTGAAGCACTTTGAAACAAATGAAAAATATTGTTACACAGTAAAGCCTGCAACAATTATGCCTGAAAAAAAGAATAGATCCTCTCTTCTTCCCAGTAGGTACTTATGAGAAATATTGGTGATTTCTATGTGTCTTTCAACTGAGGACATTCGCTGCAACAGTGACACAATTGAAGGAAACATTTAAATTGGTCTTAGGTGAGAATGTGTTTCTGCAGCAACAAATTCTTTTATGAGATGAGTATAGCTACACTACCCCCCATTCACCCTCCATTCCCCTACAGTTCCACAGCAACTTTAAGTATGAAACCTTCTGTTTCACAAAGATACTTCACATACAGTGGAGGCTCATGCCTTCCAATCCTTAATCACATTTCACCTATTCAGTGGGTTCTAGGGTTCAGCTTTAGGTATTTATTCCATTAACAACAGTCAGCTTCAGCTTTCTATAAATGTTTCAAAGTTCATAGAACAGAAGACAACAGAAGTGTGTAAAAGCAGCCACTGGGCTCTCATCAGAACTCACTCTTTCTGCTGCTGGTACCTTCTTGAGAGGGGTCTTCCACTTGTGAGGGCGAGATGCTGCTGCTACTCGTTGATTTGTGCACCGATTCCTCCTGTGTGGCAAGAGGAAAAGAAACATAATTCCTCAGAGATCGTTTTTCCTTCTCTTACTACTTCTTAGCACACAGAAATCACAAGGTATCAAAGGTATGTTGCACCACTCAGTCACTCAATGCCCTAGAAGAAGACCTGAGAAAAACATTGATTCTACACAGCACTGAGTAAATGGAATTTTCAACACTCATTTTTTTCAGAAACTGGAAAAAATGGCACATGGTTGGAATTCAGTGTAGCCAACTATCGCATGAAAGAACAAGATCATAAGAGAGGTGCACGAATCCATTGTAACTTGCTAATTTTCCTCATTGTATTCAAGAACTACCAGCGACTTGCAGCTCCAGGAGATACTTAACTCAACTTTACACCTCCCATTAGCAAGGAATCAGCACTTGGATTTCTCTGGTCTCCAAAGGAAGGAGAGCCACTCATACAAGTGACTCTTGTCACTTCAAAGAGAAATTAATCTGATCACCACTGCACTGTTCTCTAATCCCTAATCTTGGTGTGTACCTCCTTTGTTCTGTATTGAAAAGAAATCTCATTCATTATATAAGCACGTTTCATCACAACAGCCAAGAGCAATCCCTGCAAGATAAATGAAAGTGAAATGGGCTTTGACTACCACCTTCAGCTATCTAAAGAATTATGCCACCCAAGTAATTAAACCCTTCGCTTTCACCTAAAACCTCTGCCTTTGGCCACCAGACACCAGAAAGATACAGATCATCACAGGAGCTTCCCAAAGGAACAGAGTGGAAGGACTGAGTGTGAATGCTCTTTAGCTCTAATGTGAACGCTTTTAACCAAGGAGACTTACATCATTGAAGTTGTTGAGATTTACAGATCAAACAAGTGACCTGCTCTAAAATCCAGCAAGTGGTTGAGCTTCTCTCTCACAAATTTCCTTAGTTACGTGAACTGCAAGCAGGAAAATCTCCACTGGCTGAAAGATTGCCTTCTTTGGTAACAGTAAGTAAGAAAAAAAATAGCTGGCAGGATCACCTCAATGAACACCATGCATCACAGGGCAGAGGCCTTTCCAAATTCCCATCAGGTGATCTCTGCCCTACGCTTAGCCCAAGGGTATGCGTTGTACGTGAGGACACCGTGATGTATACTGTTCCCACAACACAGTATTTTGCAAAGGGACTCAAACCAGCCCAGATCCCAAAAGAATATATTCACTTTAACACATGAAGAGTGACCCCGCAAAACAGTTGTGATGGGAAGCTTGTAGGGAAGTTCGAGCAGCACATTTAACTACATCAGTTGTTTTACCCAACATCTGGGACCACGCGCTTTTCCATAGACAATTAAACAATTAGAATTTTACAGGTAATGAGAAAGCTGCAGCTTTGAAGGCTATCACCTGAAAATATCTAAATATGCTACTGACATGATTTTTGTCCGGATAGCTGCAGCTTCATTAGGAAGATACCATTTTTATATCTGTATCAAAAATCACTATTAGATTGCTACTTCTTTCAGCCACACGAAGCAAAATGGCACTTCCTGCTCCCCCTCTGAAACTGTGATTCTAGCGGCAATGCAGAAAAAAAGCAAGGACAGAAAGCAGGAAGGGGCTGTACAATATTCATCCTTGCCAGCAAACAGGCATAGGGCTGTATCAGACCTTCCCTTTCACCTCTGGCTGGCAATACTGCGTGTTGGGGCGTAGGCTGCATCACAACACAGCTGAGAGAAGAACAAAGGGGATGCAGGGGGAAAAAAAGGCGTCTGCATCATAGCTCATTTAGAGGTCCTCAGCTCAGCAGTGCAGATATTTGCAGCCTGTAATTTAGGGCATAACATAGTCATAATTTAACTACCAGTGAGTAACTCTAAATAGGGTAAGCCCAATTCAAATTGCAGGCAAAGAGGTGGCCGAGTCATTCATAGGCAATCAGGACAACACATATGCTCGTCTGTGTGTTACATGCAAAGTAAAAGTCAGGGAAGAAATAAGACATTTTGACAGAGCGATCTTCACTTTCTTCAAATGTTATACATCCCGCCCCACTCTTTAGCTCAGAAAAATTTCACCCAAACTCCCTTTAGTTTGTTTATTTACACTACTTTAGCACTGTTCCTGGGCCCCAACCAGGATTCTGCTGAGCATCTTAATCATCTTATTTACTTCACCAGCCACTTCTGTTGACTCAAACCAGCACAGCATCTGTTCTCTGTGACAGCTCGATGTGGCTGATTTATTTTCAATTTATCTTTTGCTGTATGTTCCAGAGCTTGCTCTATATGACTTTGCTTGTCTACACAGTATTCCCTAATCCATAGTCACAGTCAGACATCTTATTTATTCCTTCTACAAGGATCACTTCACAAAATTTTTTTCTTTCACTTTACAAAATTTTCTTTTACTGACTTTTGCTCATTTTTCTGTGTGAAATATCATGCTGTATTAGCTACAAGCTGGGAAGCTGTAAGTTCAAGATCCAGTTCTTGTTGGCAGGTCTTAATATTCCTGCATCCTGCCCAGCTTCATTCATATTAACAAACCCTCATATATAGCTTCTATTGTAATTTTAAAGACTGCTGAGCAACTTCAGAATGCAAATCTCTCCTGCTTTCAGAAGAGATGCACCAAATTATGCACCCACAGAAGCCACCCATAGGATAACCCGTAGTACAAAGAGGGTCAACCGTTCACAGATCAAGAAAGTATGCAAAGAGATAAATTTCTCCCCACATATATGCCCTCAGCCTCCTAACTTTCAGCTGAGGTGCCTTTGTAAGCACCCTGTCAGAAAATCCCTCCTTCCCCATTTATTGGAGAGAAAGAGAGTCAGGGAAGACTGCCTTCCCCAGGCTAAAATTAGCCTCTGTGAATAAACCCTGCCTGCATGTGCTTTCCGGACAGCTTAACTTTCAGAAAGGTCCAAACTCAATTAATAGTACTACTGGTGCAGAAGACAAAGCTCATTCTTGAGGATGTAATGTTGGCACTTCTTGAGGATCATATACAATGGAGCTTTTAAGAGAGAGCTTTTTAGAAGCTTTTCTCCTCTTTATGCTTCTTTACATCTTTAACTCTTCATTTAAGAGAGGATGGATTCAAAGTTTTTTCCCCATCTAAGTGGTATTTGCTTGTCCCTGTCTGTGAAACGTTTGTTGGGTGTTACTTCCCAAGCCTACACAGCAAACAAATGCCCTGACATTTGCACCAAACTGCAACCCCTCTGGCACAGCTGATGCTCTTTATTTAACAGCGGGTACGGTGAGGCCGGCCTCACATCTGAGGCCTGTAGTGACAGCTTCCCCATGGGCGCCAGAAGGGTGCAACATGTCTGCCTGCAGTCCCGAAAGCATAATGGCTACATGCACACTGTGGACAGATACCGGGCATTTAGAAAAATAAGTAAACACTGGGTTTAAGGCCAAAATTAGCATTTAACCTTTTTTAAAGAATATTCTCATTTTTGAGGTCTGATCTAATGCTTTTGAAGTTCTGTGGGCTGACAGAGCACTCATGGAAAATTCAGATTATAATCTGCAAAGTCACTTCTCATCTGATCAAATCAGCAAATTAAGGAATAAGACTCAATTCTGACAAATCAAGAAGCAAGTTGTGTCCTGATTTTTTTTACCTCTGAATCTGAGCTGTCAAGTTCAGCCAACGTGGGAGCCTTAAGGAGTCTCTTGCGCTGTACTGTCACTTGCGTGGCCCCATTCTGCTTTCCTTGTGGTGCCAGGCCACCGTTCACTACAGAGGCATCCAATAATTTTCTTCCAGCCTCTGGCGTAGATACATCTAGCAAAAGAAACAGAACAATTGGTGTTTGGACCTAATTTTTATTTTGCCTTCTCAAATCTTACCGTCAAGGCAATACACACAAAAGGGAAAAAAATATTATTGTGATAGCTGTATGTGTGCAATTATTTTACTTCAATAACAAGTTGCTCGGAGAACTACAGGCAATGGCTTTTGGTACAGAAGCAAGATGAAAGAATGAAAGCAGTGAAAAAAGCAGCAGTGCACAGTACTAAAAACCAACCCCAGACTAATACCAAAATAACCCTGTGTCAAACCCCAAAATATTCTTCCTTCAACTTATAATTAACCATATAACAAGTATAAGAAGAATGCACAACCATGTCTGGACAAGTGGTTTTCCAGTATCTGAAGACACCACCACACAGAAATCAGAAGGCTTAGCATGGAGTAAGCCTAGTTTTTCCTGCGAGAAGAGAACTACACTTTATTCTGCAGTATACAGAAAAGGAATGAAAATGAGGCAAATAACTAGCATTCATCAAAAATATGCACAATTCTTAGGTTTGCATGGTCATTTGTATAAAAAATATGTCTGTGATGTCAAATCTTCATGGAACAGCAGAAATATGAGGCTCCAGCTCTATTTTCATCTACATGAGTTTTACAAGGATATAACTCCACTGAATAAATGACTTGGGATCTCTGTCAGTGTGCAATGAAGATGCATCTCGGATAACATGTGCATTGGGTCTGCAGTGCTTAGCCTAGACATTAAGATAATGACCCAGCTTTGATATTTTAGGAGAGCTTAGAGTTCAGTCTGATAAATCAGTTTTATCCCTGTAAAAGTACAAAGTGCAGTATTCCAATCTGGAGAAAATGATGTCGGAGGGAGAAGGAAGCGAAGCTTTTAATCTCCCATTTGCATGTATGCCTAAGCATCTGGTCTTTCGACAAATGTATTTTTCTGCCCATGTAATTATAGGACTCCTTCCCCAGTCTTGTAATAATAAAGTACCTCCAGGTATTTTAAGGCTAGGATAATGATGAGTTATTACTCCCATTTTTATACATGGTGAAAAGAGGCAGAGGAGGTCAAGTGCCTTGTACCTTAGGTTACTGGGAGGACTATGACAGAGAAACGATGTCACCCAGATATTCCCAGTGCCAACAGCGTAAGGACTCACACATCATTTGGAGTTACTCACATAGTTGCCCTGGTATAAACAGACACGGTCACTGCTGCTACAACACAATTTGCATTGATAAAAGCCGTTCTTGCACTAGGTAAGTTAAAACTACAGAGTCTAGACAAAGCCTCAGTTGCAGTAGTAGGTCTGTTTTACCACATTCTCACCAGAGCAGCTATTAAAAAGGAATGAGAAGACAGATAAGTTAAATAAATATGCATTTTAAAGAACTAATTAGGTTATTGTTAAATGCTAGAAAATGAGCTAGAAGGGACAGGAGATGTATTATAGTTCCCCTATAAATCATACCTTCAACTGGGAGTGTAAGAAAAGGCGATTATTTGGACTATTAAAGTCATGGTGACATTCCAAGCCTATGAATCTGTGTACTACAGTGTTATTACTGCCTTCAGGTCCTCCCTACAAAGAGTTGCAATCAAAGACTTAGACTCTCTAACCCTTAGTTCCTATCTTCAAAGGCTTTGCTAATGGGTGTCCTGACTAGCACTATGGCTTATAGGTCATGAGTTTTCTTCCTCCTAGACTCCTGCGAGTACAGCATGGGCGTCCTCCACATCAAATGCATTCCTGCTCTCACAGCCGCTCAACACAACCCCAGAAAGTGACAGCAGCAAAACAGAACCCAAACTGCCTCTCCTCCCCGCTGCCAATATCGCTTCTTGAGACCTCATAATTAGCTGGCATGCAGTTGATTGAAGAAGCTCAGAGTTTCCCAAATGAGAAAGACAAACCCCTTTGATTTGTCTTTTGATTGCACAGGGCGGTTCCAGAACAGACCGTCCAGTGAAGCAGCCCGGGCACCAAGAACACAACAGCCAAAGGTGGTGTCCCTCCTCTCAAAACCTGCCTGGGTGGTGACTCTCCTGCCTCTCCAGGAAGGCTGAGGAATGGCCTGTGAGCATTGTTGGACTCACTGGAATAAAAATGATGGGAAGGCCGACAGTATTGCCCTCTTTCCAAATTATAAAACACACAATAGCTCTGGGGAAAGGAAAGAGGAGGGAACAACCACCAGACATCCCCTAGCACTACAGGAGGTGATGAAAGGGATATCCAGGTTTCTGCTATTTTCTGGTTTGTTTGGGGGTTTTTTGGTTTGTTTGGGTTTTTTTTTTGTTTGTTTTGGGGTTTTGTTTTGGTTTGTTTTCTAAGAATTTAGATGCCATTTCTTTAGGCCCCAGAAAGGGAAATTTCTGATCCATTTTGGAGACAATTCATGTAGCCAATCAGCATTTACAAAGCCTAAACCAGGTGTTATTTAAACTCACAAATGCATGAGTTGTTCAAAAACATTGTTTATAAAATCTTCTTGGAATACCAGAGAAGCTTTAGGTGCATTGAGAATACAATCCATACTATTTGTTTTGAAGGGCTCTTCAGCAGGAAATGTCATTTATCACCATTCTTTCCTCTAAAGAAAAGAACAGGGAGTGTTTTTCACAACTTGCAAGCACTAAATAATAAAAGATCAATAAATCAACAAATTTTACAAGAGTAAAATTAGAATACCATTCTATTTATAAAATCTGTTTTGAAAACAGTGCTCGAGTTCAGGTTATCATTCCTGCACTTACAGTACCAGATATATGTGAATAAAAGGATTATCATAATTTAAGGAAGGGATCATGAAATTTTACAGTTTCACCTAAGAGATTTCAACAAAAATAACTTGTTCCAAAATTAAACCCAGGATTTGTTAGCTGCTACAGACCAAAAAATGATTACTTTAAGCTATTTTAGTGATGTACTCAGGCAAAAGAAACATTACCATGTGGCAAATAATTGTACATCATCATAAACAAGATAAAATTAATCAGGATAAACAAGTCAGGAGCAACCATTAGACTACTGCTTATAAAAATGAACGTGACAGAAGAAATTAATGGACAATTCTTTGAAACAAAAGCCTAAATTAATCTTTTTTAAAAATGGTTAGTAGTTTCACAATCTCTGGTTGCATAAAACATCTAAATGCTTTGGAGATGATTCAAATTTTGTTAAAAAAAAAGATCTGTGTGAGTAACACTCTGGGGTTAAGATTTTATTAGAGAGTCAGACACACTAGGAGAGTGTCATTTCTTTGCGTTTTCAGGCAGCAAATACAATGAAAAGCATCTGCAAATTGGATGAATATGTTTGGTTTCTTTTGAGTTTCTCCTAAGCTATCATTACAACAGGCAAATGAAAGAAGAGGAGGTCTTGATTTGATTACTTGATCTTTGTTTTGGTCTTCCCTGACTAGCCTTAAGAAGAGGGAGACAAAAAAAAAAACCCACCCTAGGATAATATGAAATACACCTTTATTTACATGTAAGATTATGTCTCTTACGAAACAAGGAATTAAGCAGACCACAGATTACATGCAAACCACAGCAGTCATGTAACCATACGCTGTCTGCCTCCTAACCAGCTCTCCTTGGCAAGCAATGACAACAGAAACCTGAATTTTGCTCTATACAGCAAATGTACTCCTCAACCTTATCATTTTTACATTAGGTTTAAAAGAAGGCTAAAATGGATTTGCAGAATTAATATAGCTACAGGATGATGATAATATACTGGGAAAGATTATATAATAAATAATGGTAACAGAGATGTCCTGTTACTTTCAATGGACTCTTACATCTTGAAGTCAAACCTGGGAATTAATAAATCAGTATAGCAAACTGTCACTCTTTTGCTGGTGTTTGCATCACATTTATTATTGTGTTATTGAAATTAAGAGATTACTGGGACCTGGTAGGGCTTCTTCCTCACACTGGTCTGAGGCACAGATCATGTAAAGCCACCAGTGACCCACATCACCTCACAGGGCTGGGAACAACAAGAATGATCTCCGTGAAGTTTGGGTTTGAGCATTTCTGTTCTCTTTTTCTTCTCTCCCTGCACCTCCCTGCCCCCAAAAGGTACAAGCTATTTCTGAAGTAACAACTTCAAAGCAGCCATGCACATACAGCTTTGAGGTAAGAACTTGAGCGTTAAAGAGCAGGAATGACTGGTCTTTTGAGCGACATTCTACACAGTGCATAGAAGTGAAGCTGCTTTTAAGCTATTTGTCTGTTAGAAGAAGCAGGTGATGACTGCCCTGGTCCTTAGTTGCTATCCGAGTATCCCTCAGATTACTCTAATTACTGCTCCCTTCTTCTATTCTACCAGCAGGAAACAGCAGTGTGAAAGGAGGACCCAGGCAGCCCTCCTCTTCAGGACAACAACAGCTGGCAGACGTGTGGAACCGGGCAGAGTGACACACCATCTACACCAGCTTGGTGCCAGCTAAAGTCTTCTCAGAATTGGTTCTGCATCACCCCAGCCGCAGACAGCAAATACAATAAAAGCCTGCACCTATCCTTTGGCACGTAGTAGGAAACACTTCTGGTTCTCATCCGGTTTGTGTTTGTTCATGACAGCAATTCCATCAAGCAGAGAGCAATGAAAGCAGTGAAAAAACAAGTACGTGGAAACAGCGATCACAGAATGAAAACACAGTAGAGCTCCCCTGCCTCCAAAATAATGAAAAAAGTAAAAGCACGCAAAGCAATAACATTCAAAACTACTGCTTATCTGCTTACTATCGACATCCCAGCCCATCTAATTCATGCTCATTCAGATGAGCGTGACACTGCTCATCTGGTGTCTCACGTCTACCTAACCGGAATGTTTTAATCATCCTGAATTTACTTCTAAAGACAATTTATCAGATCACTCAGTCACGCCATAAGATACTACTTGCTCAGAACCACATGACTTGAAAAAACCAGAAACAATCACATTTGGAAGATGGATAAAGAAAACAGGAAGAGTTCTTCAATGGTCAGTCAAAAAGAGCAAATCCAAGTACAGTATAGATTGTTATGGAGATACTTCTTTAAAATAAGAACATTATGGCAATGAATTAATGGATTATGAAGGGAGCTTTCACAAAATACTGTTTGGATTTAAACAAATGAGGATGTCTCAGGATTCTTAAAAAGAAAAGGCAAAAGAAGAAGCAGACAGACACACGCAGAAGGACAGATTTGAACATTTCCCTTTTGTTGGTCGCTGGCACATTTGGTTCTATAGTCTTAAAACTGAAGGAACTTTTGGCATATCTGAAAGCAGCAATACTGTTTGAAAACTGAACTTTGCCTGTTTGTGCTTCTATCTGACCCCCTGGGGTCCCTCCAGCTTTCAGTGGAATACAACATGATACCAAGTACATACATAATTTGAATCCCACCGGGCAGCTGTAGTAGCTGTACCATGCTCCATCAGTGTAAGGTTTCACAAAAGGGCATGAGGTGGATGAACAGCTTGCCACCGCCTCCGACAGGGAGAGCCTGTTCCTTCCTCCCATCCACCCAGGCTCATCATCTGCCCTCAGCCAGCTCTCTGATCATCTGATCAGATAGTAAGCAGGTTTAAATCACCAGAAGAGCAGAAAACCAACCTGGTAAAAAAAATAAAAGCGTTTTTTTGGTGGGTTACGTGAGTTTAACCAGGTAATCTTGTGAATAAATGAGCAAGGCTGGCACAGAGGAGGAGGGGGAATCACATCCTTAGAGAGGAGCTTGGGGAGGAGGGGGAGAAGCAAGAGCCCCTCCTCACCTCCTGAGAGTGGCAAGCTGTTCACCTGAGGCCACGTTCACAGAGAGGTCACTTGTGAACTTTGCTCCCATATTACAAAACTATTGTATTTTTTACATGATGGTAATCAAAAAACTTCTACATGGTCTTTCTAATTCACAATATGGTAGCATTTCAGTCAGATGATGCCTTTCTACAGGGAAAATAGCCATATGAGGCCAAAGGGTGCATGGAGAAACAGAGGAGGAAAACTTTGCAAAAGTCCCAGATGAGGTGCTTCTACATGCAACTGGAAGGAATATACAGCTGCTGTTGCTTCTTCACAAAATGAGAGCATGGATTTATTTGGAGACTGTTTTTCTTAGTCACCTAGGGGAAATTAGGTAAGAGCTAGCATAAGAGCTATCCTCAGCAGACAAACCTTTGAGGCTGATACAGAATATTTCCAGCATCAATGATGGAGTCTTTTGGGCCTGAGCATGCTGGAAAGTTAGTGCATGAGGGAGGAATGAATTTATTTTCTGGCTAGTAGGCACAAACTCTCTCTGACATTGCTGTCTCTGAAGTAGAACATGTTCATACAGTCACTGAACATCCTAACTAATGGTCCACCAAGAGGGACCTTTACATTTTATATTAGATAGTTGATGAAGGATCAGCTACTGAATTCTCTGTATCAGCTATCAGCAACAAATCTTACCAATTTATTTTGCTAACCAGTAAAGAAGGAAGGTTTAGCCTCTTTCAAGTGCATGTCTTTGATTTCACAACTCACAAAGCGTTTATAGTAAAGACAGTAGAATTGTCAGATCCTTCCTAGATTAGCATTCATAGGTGTATTTCATTAAATCTAGAAAGGTAGATGAGTTCAAAACTAGTTTTTGGATTTTTATGAGAAATTAAGTACTGCAAAAATGGGCTAGTCAAAAAGTGAGTGCAAAGACACAAAGGTCAGATTAAAATATAAGTAAATCAGACTTGAAGGTGATACTGTATTCTGCAATCCTTTTTAGAGTTTGGAATAGCTCTGGGGCACCTTATTTTGTTTTGTTTTGGTTTTTTTAACAGACTTCCAGCACTCTATTTCAGGTTAAATACAGTTGTTTCCTATACCTAGGCATCCTTTTGTGGCAAGGGAAATGTAGGTATTAATAAGTAATTAATCTTAATTTTCATTTTCACTGACCATATCTTGGAAGAATCCCTTCAAGTTTCTTTCTTAAATGGGAGTTCAACAAACAGATGGAACAAATTTCACAATAAGCACAATAACCACGTCAGGTGTTGTTGCACCTTTTACCTGACAAGTCAAAACTGTAAGACATGCTAAGTGGCCGCATTGCTGTAAAAAAGAAACAAAAACAACAAAAAGAAAACGATTCAGCTATTAGAAAACCAGAGGGGCAATGAAACCAAAAGATTAACTCCACTTGAGACATTTTGGATTCTCTTGCCTAAATCCAAAATGTGTCAGACATACTATTGCTTTACTGTAGTAAAGCTCAGAGTCTGAAAACTACAGTAGCATAAATGGGGCTTACAAACAGAGCAATTATAAATATATTTGTACAGTTGTCGAATGAGGTCTTTGGAATTCAATAAATAAAATATCAAAACAAGAGGCAATTATCTTAAAAATGGAATATTTTCAATTAAAATGAACAAAAGAAAGGGGAGAGGGAAAAGAGAGAGAGGAGAGAGAGAAAGGTGAAAAAAATAGGAAAGTACAAAGCCACATTTCACACAAGTTTCAGTGACCTGAAATAAAGATATTTCTAATTTTTTTAAGCATAATCTCCAATGATTATAATTAAACTAATAAAGAGAGACACTCAAGCTAAGCTTGACCAGTAGTTTCCTTGAAGAGGATGGAAAAAAAGGCTGAACACAGTGAGAATTGTGCTGATTTTCTTTTTAAAAACCTTAGGTGAACTTAGCCTTTAAAATGTATCCATAACATTATCCTCTTCTTTCTGGGCCTCTGACCATTTTATTCCTAGAAGAAAGTGGTCACATGTTCTTCATTTCTGGAAAGGCCTATGCATATTTTCCATTAAACAGTGTAATTCAGGGAGTAGACACTCAAAATATTTCTCAACTGAAAAGAAAATGTCAATGTTCTAATCCAAATTAGCAGGCCAAGCCCAGCAACAAGAATGTATAAGAATGCATCAAAATGGACATCAACTTATCTGTCTTACTTGACAGGTGCTAAACATGCACGTTGGTATGAAAGGGCCCGTCGGCCACACGTACCCCTGCATTAAAAGATATTTAAAAAAAGGTTGTGCTGGGACAAGTTTTGCTCATGAGAAGAAATCTATGTGGTGAACGCAGTAGGTGGCTGACTCAGAGCCAAATTTGGGAGTCAGGGTATCTTTCCTGTAGTTCATTAACTAGACAACATCAGCCACAGATACCAGCTACAGTAGAACAGTATCTAAATCCCTGTCCAAACTCAGCATAAAGGCAAACACATTTTAAAGCATAAGGGCGTTTATCACCTAATGCTGATTCTTAACTGAAGGCTGATAAAACACGCACATGAAACAGTTTCATCCAAGGTCCATTAGCTCAACTTGCTTGAGTCACAAATCCATGCCGTTAATTAAAAGGACATGTACCTCAAGGCTGTGTTTGTCTCGATAGCTTACTCCCATGATTTTATGAGGTCATTTGAAAGCTCACTCCAATTCCTCTACTCAAACCTCTCCCTCTGTGAGAAGAAGAGCTACCGAGATTAAATCAACATTTCCAAAGAAGCTACAGATTGTGGCCAGCCACAGGTTGGCTTTTCTCAGCGGCAGCTCAGGGTAGAGAAGACCGTACCTGCATGCGTGTGTCGTGCAGAGCAGAGGGAGGCTGTGGCCTGTGGCCGCTGGGACACACATGCCATAGGTCCACCCATATCACAGAGAAGGAACTGCAAGAGCACAGCCCCCCCCCACCCCAATAGTTCTGTGCTTGACTGTTGTACACTCCACAAGAGGCAGTAACTCTGGGACATGTGCAATGCACCTTATACTCCCAAATAGTTCACTCTAACACTCTTTTTTTTTTTTTTCTTTTTAATAGCAACAAATATTTCTGTCCAGGTGCTGCAAGTGGCCCACATGGTGTTTCTACTTAGCTTTATAACGCTTAAACCTTATTGCCTTACATGTTGTCACATTAAATTACACTAATTGGTCATCTAAACTATAGTGCAGATTTATTTGTGCCATACTGAATGTCACCAGCATGACCCAAAAGAAGCTGCATCAAAAGAAGTGTGGCCAGCAGGTTGAGGGAGGGGATTCTGCCTCTTTACTCTGCTCTGGTGAGACCCCACCTGCAGTAACGTGTCCAGCTATGGAGACTCCAACATAAGAAGGACATGGAACTGTTGAAGCAAGTCCAGAAGAGGGCCACAAAAAGGATCAGAGGGCTGGAGCACCTCTCCTATGAGGACAGGCTGAGAGAGTAAGAGAAGGCTCTGGGCAGACCTTACAGCAGCCTTCCAGTACTTGAAGGGGGCCTACAGGACAGACAGGGACAAAGGTTTTAACAGGGCCTGTTGCAACAGGACAAGGGCTAATCACTTTAAACTGAAAGAGGGAAGATTTAGACTAGATATATGGAAGAAATTTTTTACAATGAAGGTGATGAAACACTGGCTCAGGTTGCCCAGAGGGGTGGTAGATGCCCCATCCCTGGAAACATTCAAGGTCAGGTTGGATGGGGCTCTGAGCAACCTCATGTAGTTGAAGATGTCCCTGCTCATTGCAGGGTGGGTTGGACTAGATGACCTCTAAAGGTCCCTTCTAACCCAAACCGTTCTATGATTCCATTCCCAATTCTGCACAAACACATTTTACTCTAAAAGAAACTTTGGGCATAAGAATCATTTCAATGTGAGAAAGAAAAAAACCTCATATTTAAACATAAGGAAAAATTATGTTCAAGGCCTTTGCTCTTTTTTCTTCTTCATGCCAGCAGCAAATAAACACCTGGGAAATAAAACTTGCATGCATCCCTTTTTACACCTCCAGTAATATGGCATTTAATCCAAACGATTCACAGGACTGAAGCAGAATTACCACAGCTCCAAAACTCAAAAATTTAATTATTTAACAAAGAATTAAGAATTGGTGCGAGACAGACATCCCTTATTGGAAGCCAAGCACTGAAATCAGCCCAGGAAGTCCTAGCCAGTAATACTCCAAAATTTAACATTGTTTTTAGAAACTGTTTACTAAATGGGCTTGATGTCATTTATATAATTTAGAAATTGTAAAGATCCATTAGATCAAATTTGCTTCCCCTGAGAGGACGTGATGCTGCCCTGAGTTCCCAGATGGAGAACAAGTAAAATACAGAAAATGAATGTCTGAAAGAAAAGTAAGGAATTGTTCCACGGTTTTACAAGCTTCCTACATTTGGAAAAATATCTAGGCCTATTAGAAACATTAACTGACACAACAGGCATAAACTGAATCCCAACTAGAAACTGGAAGGCTGAAAGTAACAATATTCAAAACACCATGCTTTTAAAAATGCAGCCAAGCCTTCACCAAACTCTACCGAGCACTTCAAAAACAATGCAACAAAGCAAGCCTGATGAAATTGTTTATCTCTGCAGACAATGGGTTGTCACAACCCACTTGAATCTGGACCACTGCCTTTAAGCACAGCTGGCAAGCACAAATATTTTGCAAAAAAGCAGCGACAGAGAGTACATATGTGAATTATTTCATGCTTTTCAGCCATAAAATGCCACATTTTCCCTTCAATAGTCCAGCTAGCTCAGTTTTTCTGCTACCGTGTTCTTGAGGAAACGTAAGTCACAATGTAAGACTGTATTTGTCATGCTTTTGTCATCAGAACCATTGAACTAGTGCACACTGGTGATTGTTGGAAAGCATAGTATTTGTGTAATTTTGTAGTGGGTTGTTGAATATACACTGCAGAAATGAAATGCTCTGCCGTGCAAGTCAGAATTATGTGCCCATGGAAAATATATACAGACACATATTCCATAACTTAGAAAATGAAGCAAAGATTTAGATTCAAAATAGAAGCAAAACGATTCAGCAAATAAAATAAAAGTAAATTGTAAATTAAAATAAGGAAATTGATGATGTTAACAACAGGAAAAAAAGATAATAAAATTAATTAAAAACAGACATGTAAAGAATCCTTGCAATATGTAAGGAATATTGCATGGGTGAGAAGCAATATCCATTCCATTCTGAGCAAATCTATAATTAACTGTCATGTGCAACAAGCAATAGAATGCCATTAAATTTATCTACTATTTACATAAAAACATTAAGCAAATCAAGCTGAGCCATACAGTACCTCCTTTTAAAAAATAACTTAGCCCAAAGACTGCATAGCCCTAGAAAAGCCTGTAGGTTCCTTCTTCTTCTGAAGGGATGAGAACAATTTTATCTTCAGTGACATCTGCACAGACATCACAAATATTGCTGCACCTTACGTGGGAAGTTTTCTGTGGAAGCTGCTGGTAAAAACTAGCAATGTGCTTACCCAGCCTGCTACGCCTTATCTCATCAGGTGAAACCGGACGTAACTTCCTCTCTGCCTTGATTTCCTCCAGTATCCTTTCATGAAGGCTGCGTGGCCGTGGTGGGGTTGGTTTCAGTTTTCTTGCCGAGGCCTTGGGATGTAAAGATAGTCATATTTACAGAAAACAGTGCTTCCTTGAAAGTAGGTTTTACGCTTCTTTGCAAAAGAACATGGAATGTTGTGACATGATTTTACATGGACTCAATTGTAAAACCTGCAAAAGAGGACTGTATTTTTCCCCAGTTCATTATGATTTCCCAGAGATGAGGGGCTGCTGGTAATAACAGCTAATAATTGATAGGTGCAAGACATTATACATAGTTCTTTAAGAGACCACATTCTATATACAGAGCACAGTACTTTTGAAAGCCCATGTCAGAAAACGCAATATTTAACATACTCTCTGGACACAAACATGCTTTAAAAAGCCCCATTTGTGTTAGGAATGAAGCCCCCTGGATTACATACAGGATTTAATGGAGGTCGCGATCGGATGAAATCCAGGATTATTTCATGGGCACTCTTTTTTAATCGAGGTGGAATGTCACCGTTGACCTGGAAAGGAGAAAGAGAAATACATATTTCCATGTTTTGCATTCATATTCATGTAGATGATGAGATCAATAGAAAACTCATCACAAGCCTGACAGAGCTTGCAGTGTTCTGACACCCGCACCAGACATAAAACCCCACCACTCCTGAGCAGAGGAACAATCCAGACGCAGAGCACAGGCAAGTACAAATAGAGATAGCAGCTTTTCTGCTTTGCAGATAGCTGCAGAATAACCACAACTGCCACAGCTTTAATCAGCTATAGTTCAGATTTTGAAATGATCAAAGACTGTATCTTGCTTGGAGAAAAAGTTGCCAACACCATTTTTAAGAACAACTATTTGAACTGTGTCTTACTGCCAACCATCACACAGTCTCTACTACTCTTTCCCTAGCTTCTGAGAAAACATAGATTCTCTTTAAGGCCCCAGTGTTCTTGATCTCCCAAGCACTGATGCAAAAGCAAAGCTAGATCTCGCACAATCACCACTAATTTTCTTGTAGCAATGGATGAAAAATATGTTCCCCCTTGGTTTTTTGTCTTTACCACCTGCCTCTGCTGCTCTGGCCATGAAGAGGTGCCCTTGTGTGTAAATCCCAGCAGAAGGAGAGGGAAGCCCTGACCTACCTCTTTCATGGCTATCTCTTCCCCTGCACTTTTAAGATTACTCAAGTGTAAAACCAAGTTTGTTAATATGTCTAGAAAGTAAATCACTAGAATGCCATGGCATGCCGTTGGAAATACAGGAAGACCATTTCTTTGCTATAAATCACATATTTCTATAGAAAAGGGGCTGGCTGAGGGTTGTTTGCTTGTTTGGATGGTTTTCTCCAGAGACATACATTTCTTTCTCTGATACCTCATCTAGACGTAAGACCATATACAAGACATCACAGGAAAGAGTCAGCAATTCACTTACATGTCCAGGATATAAAAGAAGGCAATGAAATTTTTGTTACCATCTGAAGAATTTATAAATTGTAAGTTGGGAATAAGTGTACAGATTTGCTTAAAAAAAATCCACCTGTCAGGTTCAGTCTTCATACAGCACAGTGCCCAAACACACCGTCAGAGATGAGAGCATCCTACACCACGCGTCCTATTAGTACCTTCTATTACTAGACAGTAGTTGGCTACCAGCCCTCTCCTCCAATTTGACAGAAATTCCCGTGACACTATACTTCTTAGACTGAGTGTCCCAAATTTCAGCACTTAAAAAATATTTTTCTTTTTCTTTTTTATGGGTCAGTTGGCTCATTTTTCTTTGGGAGACTCTATTCGTACAACATCTGTAGCCAGAAATATATGTAAAGACACAGCTCTGGTTTGTCAAATCACATGGACTTTTGCTAACCAGAAGGAATGAGTTTAAATGCCCATAAAGTCACCTGAATATGATCCCCAATTGAACCTCAGTAATGCCATGCAGCTTCCATAGAAGCTCTGCTCACCTCAGACATGCGCTGTTTCCAGGCTGAGGCAGAGCAACAGCCTCCCAGAGAAAGTTAATCCCTTCCCTGATATGGGAGGAGATGCAGAGTCCCTCCTGGGCAACATTTCATCGTTTTCCCAGGGACTCTTTCTGGAAGTATCCTACCCAAGACATGGTCCAAACTCTAATTGTGCCTCCTACCCCACCTCCTTAGCTTCCTTAGAGTGAATTTCATATACCTTGGCAGAGAATACCGAGCTGCTAAACTCTGCAATGTGCATCACCTTCCTAAAAATAGTGCAGAAAAAAACACTAAAATTGAAAAGGTTTATATTAAACGGTGATTTGACATTTTATGATGAGGAGAATATTATTTTAAGTGGTGTGATTGATTTCTTCTGTTTAAAGGCTGAGCAATTTTTTGAGGCCAGCATGCTTTGCAAGATTGTTAATGAGATGAGAAGTCTCTCTTCCTTGAGTTTCTGTTCATCAGATGTCAAAGCTGATAGCTGAAGTTGAGTGTTATTACCATCAGAACAGCCATTTTGTAAACTGATATTCTCCCTTCCAGCCTTGGGGAACAACCCTCTGCATGTCAATTGGAAATAAATAATACATGGCTCTGAGCCTTTCACCTCAGGGCACTCTACGCCCTGACTTAATGCCACCAGGGTATAATTAGTATCAGTATTCCCATTTGATTGGAAAAGGAGAAGCGTAAGATTTGCTTAAGTGATTTTCCACAGGATACACGGGGAGCTGGTGGCAAAGCAAGTGGATGTTTCGCAGACAAGAAGCCAAGAGCAGGAGCCCTGGTGGCAGAACCACCTACCTTCTCATACACAGCACCCAGGCAAGACACTGAAGGAAAGCTGCTCTGTGCACACTAGATCTATTTCTTTACTCAAAATAACTCTCTCTGTAATGAGCAATTTCACGTGCATCTTTTTTTAATTAATTAAAATTCATGGCTCTTGATTAAAGTCTAAATCAGAAAAATATTGCACAGATGCAGCCATGATACATACAGGGGAAAAAAAACAACCAACAAAATTATCTTACTTTTTTTTTTCACATACCAGATTGGCCCCATCTGCAAACTAGTATTGAAATAAATACCTCAAAACACTGTAAAACTAGCCAAAGTCTTCACGTGTGTAAAATGGCTTTTGTACAGCAGTATGCATTAAAACTGGCATTGTATGGAAAGCACAACCAATGATTATAAAAATCAACCAGAAATTCAGAGATCTAAACACCTAAAGCACAGAAAAATTACCATGTAATCATCTACTCACGCACAACCTGCTACCATCACATTTTAATATATAAATATGGATTTGCAGTTAAAAAAATAACTGCAAATGGTACTTAGTAACCTTTGGCTGAAGCCGGAGCTTTAAAAATGGTGATCCCAAACAAGAAGTACGTTGCACGTGACTTTCACTTATCACTGACATTTAATGATCTCAGCCATTTATTTGTATCACTTTAAAAGGCGACACCATTAAGTAAGGGAGTGCTACCTCTAAACAATTTCCTAATTCTACTCAGAGTACTGAACAGTCAGGGACAGATCAAGCTACGCTTTTAAACACAGCATTATATTAACAAAAAGAACAGTAAAGACTTCATGCTGCATCTCATTTATTTAAAAAAATTACTTAACCTCTAGTTATCATTAGTAGCATATGCACTTTCACGAGTACCAAGTCTGAAAATACTACCTATAAACTTAAAGCCAAAATTGATTTTAATAAATATTTTGTCAAACATCTGTTTTGACTGATAGAAACATAACCCATCTTTCTCAGGCTAGCTTAAAATTCAGATTTAGGATTCTTGTCCTTTTCTCCTCTTCTCAAGAACTACGGCAGTTTTCTCTGATGGGAGTACATATAATCAGATTTGACCCATAATGGTCAGCTAAAAGATGATGTATTTATGTGATCTAACTAAACTTGTAATTCTATATGAATCCTTCAGGCTCCACACATTTCATGTCAGGCTACACTCTTATTATTGTGCATGCTTTGCACATTCTTCACGCAGACCCTGCAGCAGAATCCAAGTTACCAAATTTAAGGTTTCTAATAAGAAAGAAGTTATTTTTCAAACACAATGTCATTAGCAGTTGTCAGACTAAGCTGGTAATTGCATCACAGACAGCCCTACAGGTCCTGTACCTGCAGCTGATTGTAACGCCAATTCATGTTTATGCCCAGAGGTCGCTTTGGACAATCCACCCAGTAGACAAGATAGCAGGATAAAAATAGATGCTTGCAGGGATTTTGCATACAGCGGGAATCTGGATGAGCAGAGGAGCAGCTGTGCCTCCAAGATCTACCATATAATGAAGAAAATCTCCTCTGAAGAGGCAGGAGCTTGCTCAGCAGATGAATTAAAGGCTAGTCTGACAAAAGCAAAATTAGGTGACCCAGGGGTTCCCATTCAAACAAAACTACTATACTGATTGCATACAGTAATCATGGTCCTGAGGGGACTGTTCCTCTTTCGCAGTGGGTAGTGGGAACACTTAGCACAGTTCTCTCAATTGTTAGCAGAAAGACAGATAACATCATTACCTGCGTATGTATTTTAACCCTATTGATTGAACATTTAAGTGGCATCTGCTGCAGAAAATAAATACAATCTGATAGTCTAAATCCAGATCTTGATTAGGAAAGTACTTTCAGCTCATACATAAAAGGCATTTATATTTGTAAGAGAACTCATTTATTTGCTCCCCATGTAGTCGTTCCAATTTTTTTCCTCCTCTATTCTTTTTTCTAATGATCCCTGATAGAACAAACTAAATGCTTTCTGCGTCTCTCATCTTCTCCCCACCCCCATCTCTGAATTTTTCGGGTGGAATCACGGCTTTCTCACTAACAAAAGTTGTGTGAGGCTTTGTCAGGAAAGCAAATAGATTTGAACACTGAATATCCTAAGACAATGCTTCCACTGTAACTAACAACAGGCAAAGATAAGTAATTGCAAGGTATAAATATTGACAATGACCAAATACATGCCCCTGACAAAGGGGTTAAAATGTCCTACTAGGGATAAGGAGCCCTTTACATCAGATGTTAACTTATCAGGAAGAACATCTTAATGTTGAACACAATATAAACCATAAAGAAAGAAAGATCAGGGCAGCACCAGTAAATATCAAATGGCTTCTGATAAAAAGAGAGCCTCAAGTCAATCTTACATGCACCTTTATGAGTATCTCCGAGGAGGAGACCCATCAGCATTCTTCAGTTTGCTTTGGCACATTGTTTTGACTTGAAAGTAGCAATAGGATATGCTGAAAATTATTAAGCTCAGCTTCTTCAGAGTGAAGATTTAAAATTTTTACCTATAGTATTCCTTGAAAATTCATAACAGGTCATGGTAATCTAAGTTTTCACAAACACTGTGATATAAGTAGTAGGCAATACTCTCAGTCTCTCCTCATAAGGGAGATGCTCCAATCCCTGAATCATCTTTGTAGCCCTACGCTGGACTCTTTCTAGTAGTTCCCTGTCCCTCTTGAACTGGGGAGCCCAGAACTGGACACAGTACTCCTGTCACAGTATCACTCATGTAAAAACATGCTAGCACTTCACATTCTGGAATTCCCGAAATTATGTTGTAACTCAAGATAAATGTTCTCCCCAATCAGAAAAGCCTAAAACACCCTCTCAGTGGAAAGCAGGACAGGGCTTTTGATATGACTCTTAAGGTTATCATAAAACCAAGTCATTTATTCAAGCATATGATATGTGGGTATGTCTCTCATAATTTTAAATGCCTGCCATATGGAAAACAAAATACACAACTTTTGTTGGTTTCATGATTTTTCCCTCAATGTACTATGGAAATTTAAGATGCCATATAAAAACCATGAACATTACTATCTACATGAAATAATAATTTTAAGGTTCTCAGAAAAAAAAAGAGAAGAAAAGAAGAACATAAAAAAGAAAAAGAACATTTTAGATTTGACAAATTCCAGCGATTCTCTTGACTTACCATGACCTTCCTTAAGGTATAGCGTTTGGATCTAATATCATCCATCAGCATTTCATAGGGTGTGAGCTGATATTCTATTGGGAGTGGGTTGTACTGACGCTCTTGAACCTTCTTAAGTTTAACACCATTCCGTAAATCTCTCATCACCTGTACCCAAAAACGAGCCTGAAGAGAAAAGAGAGGGAAATTTTATTTGATACGTTATCCTTGAATACCACCTCAGATTAAATCAAAGTTGTTCATTCCCCTTTCAGGACACCACCAAATACGTACAGCTGTACTATTTTATTTTTAACACATCAACCAAAACCCATTTCATTTTATATAAGCCTATTTTTAACTCTCATGCACGTAACAAAACTTTCTTGCAACTCAGCAGGACTGCAGAGTTTCACCTCAAGTGATGTTAAACTCTAAGACAACATAAAAAAAGGATTTTAAATCCTCATACCATACATCTATATTTCTATTTCAAGTATGCTGCACTCATGTCAGGAAAGTTACCAGAGTTATAGCTAATACGATGTTAATTAAAACAGTGACTGAATCCAAAACTTTATTTCCTTAGGTCCAGAACGTTCTTGCAAAATTTCGCAGCAGTTGTTCTTCAAATAGAAATTTTGGAATGGACTCCAAATCCTAAGCTCTAGCAATATCCTCTCAAAAGTCAACTTCCCTTTTGCTCTTTCCTGTAAGAGCACCACACACTAACACCTCCCTCTCATTTTCTGGGCAGTGAGAATGGGTGGAGAGGAGGAAGAACAGGTGGTGGACAGAAGACTGGGAGATCAAAATCAAGTACTTTTAAGAACCTCATAATATTTCCCCATGAACTGGCAAGAACAGTAAGTAGAAAATAAAAGAAGCTACATTCTGTTACGAGTTTATCTGTAATAATTCACCATTTGAGAGACTCAGCTGGTGGCTCTGCCTACTGCCTGGCTGCGCCTTTGAAGGGCAGTCAGCGTGATAGTTGTCTAAATGTCCAGTCTTTTCAAATTGCAAAAGCTTCTCCAAGAAAACTATCTAAAGAAAAAATTGTAATGCTTGGATAACTGTATTGTTTCATCTCTCTGCAAAGGAAGGTTGAGACTCCATTTGATTCTAATTTGTCATGAGTTACCATTAATTCATATGTTAAAAAAACCAGACACTGGTTTTAACATGAAACAACTTTAGCTAAGTATTCTAAAGAAATATGAACAACTAGTAATGATGCTGAATCACTATTCCATTGTTGTCTTACCCAGTCGGCATTTTTTAATTCATCAAGATCTGTGCTGGATTCATCACTTGCCCCTTTGTCCATTTCTTGAATCTTCTTCAGATTCTGCCAATGAAAAGAAAATGAGTCAATAAGTGAATGATGACAGTAAAACTGAAGCTTAATTTTTGACATCTGTTGAATTATGCTGTTTGGGTGTTCTACTGAATGTTTTATGACTTGAATAGTAATACTGTAAAAGTAACCTGAAATACCATTTGAATGTATTTCTCCTAATTGAAAAGTAGACCTTCAATGCTGGGAAAAAAAAAATAAATCTTAAGTTTTGACTATGAAAGTACTTCAGATAAGAGCATGTCAAAGGAAAAAAATATACATAGAAATTTTAATATTTCTAAAATTGGACTTTGCACAGAAAAAAAACCCAGGTACCTAACAGATCTGTCAAGCTACAACACAGAAAATGCTACTGACTCGGTAAGGATAACATTCATAATAAAATTCCTCTTATGAATTGAATTCAAGAGAGCTCATTTTTGTAGGAGAAATTCCCAGAAAGTTAGTTGTGAGGAGAAACAAACTATGAGAAAACCTTTAAACTGAATAGTGACAGGCTTGCATATATGTTGAAATTAAGTACTCTGTATAACATGGTTCTAGATTCTGAAATAAAATCACGTAAGAAAGAGAAACAGATCTTTCAAAGGTAAAAACTGGTATTTATGAACAAGATCAGATCATGCAAATATGGAAAAGATTGTCTGCAAAGGGGCAAAAAAAACCTTTCATACTAACAAAAATATGAAAAATGATTAAAAGTTACAGCAGACCAAAGAATAGGAAAGCTTGCACACAAATGCAAGTGAAAGATTTAAAAGGCTGTGGCTTTACAGAAACAAACTTATACACATAAATAACTGCATACTCAAAATCCTATTTTTTTTATTTACTTCCGTACTGAAATGTTCTGGAATCAGCAATACCAACAACACTCAATTCCACTTTTTTCTAAGTACTCACTAGTGTATTCAAAATGGATAGTTAAATCCTCTGCTGTTTATTTTATGAGACTAAAGCACCAGGTGAGAGGCCTGACAGATGTATTTATTTATCAAAAATCTTTTTCTCACTCAAGCTCTTCCTTTGATGAAACTCAACAATCAGTCTCAATTTAGCTTTTGAGCTTCCCAGAGAACTTAAAAATAAGTGTATTTTGTTAATTTTTTTTTTTTTTTTCTTGGAAGTAGTTATTCCAAAACTGCCAGCGTTTCAGTGGAAGAAATGGGAGCACTGGAAGAGCACTTAACTTGCACGTTTAACAGGGTGCAAGTATCTACCAAACCTGGTTACAGAGATAGCACAAGTGAGTCAGCCACCACAGAGGTTTTGGAAAGAGAGCAGATGGGTTATTTATTGTCTTATTTAAGCAGGAAACGCACTTGGTTTCACATCAAAGAAGAAATACTACCATTGCCCTATAAAAACAAAATATATAATTTACAGGAGGACTCTTAAATCACCTACACTACAGAAGTAAATATATCATGGGACAATGTGGGAACGTTTTGGTGTGACTTGCAGTATCACCACAGGACACCCAGTTGGGAAAGAATGTCTTTATGGAAAATTGTGTTGATCCTGCCGCTGTGGTCAGCAGTCAGTCTGACACTTACAGGCAATCACCCTTTTCCAAGGGAAAAAAAAAAAGAAAAATGGAAAGAACGAGTAACATAAAGGCCTCGCGCATGTATTGTGCTGTCCAGGGTTTCTTCTTTTCTGTATCATATAGTTGCAGTAATCACTTCAAATACAGTATCTGTGGGCTGTAAATTACTTGCTTTCTTGCAGACTAATATTTATCGATAAACTGCAAAATATACAGTCATTCTGATACTTTCTCCTTTTCCTCTCTAATAAAAAGCTAACTTCAGTAAACAAGCTCACAACTGTCAGGTTGGCTCATCCTTTCCATACTGGAAGGTATACATTAATTTTTAAAAAATTAACATGTTCCAGCTGCTTAACCTTTACTTCGACTGTTCAACAAGATTTCCAGCAATTACCCCTTTCAGCAACTGCGTTCCCTACCATACAGTTTACTGGGCTAGTTTATGCCCAAAGGCTCATGCCTTTGACTGACATAAATATTCCATGAAGCTAAAAAGATTACAACCTGTTTTTCTTAAGAGCAGAAAATAAGACGGGAAAAAAAAAACCCCAAACCTGAAAAGCTGAAAGACCTTCCAAATAAGGCAACCATCTAATTAGTTTCTCTGGAACATAGCTAGAGGGGGAGTTTCTTCCCGAGAAAGCACAGGTGTAAGTGATGCTGGCTACACTGGAGAATTGCAAGAGGAAAACATGCCAGCCAAGAGGTAAGCCTCTCAAAGTGCAGTTTTATGATCCAAATGAGCTGATACAAGCACAGGCTACTGCCAAAGCCGGGCTCCTACTCTTGCCCATCCTGGGTCTTTTTAGTCTAGAGAAGAGAAGGCTGAAGGGGGATCAGATCAATGCTTATAAATACTTAAAGGGCGGGCGTCAAGAGGATGGGGCCAGTCTTTTTTCAGTGGTGCCCAGGAACAGGGCAAGAGGAAATGGGCACAAACTTGAATATAAGAAGTTCCACCTAAACATGAGGACGAACTTCTTTACTTTGAGAGTGGCAGAGCCCTGGAACAGGCTGCCCAGGGAGGTGGTGGAGTCTCCTTCTCTGGAGATGTTCAAAGCCCGCCTGGACAAGTTCCTGTGCAACCTGCTCTAGGTGGACCTGCTTTGGCAGGGGGGTTGGACTAGATGATCTCCAGAGGTCCCTTCCAACCCCATGTGATTCTGTGATTCTGATTCTGTGATCCTAGCCAAGTGCTCCAGCTCTTCCCCTCACAACAGCACAGACACACATTTCACTTCTTAGGGATAGTTTATTCCCCTTCCCAGCGCTTGGCTCAGACCCCTAAACTCAGCTCCCCATGTAATTAGTGGAGAACAGTAGAAAGGAAAGGAATTTCCACCACTGTAGAAGGTAGAAAGCTTTGGAGGACTGGGGAGAAAAAGAAACAGCAAGTGAGCAAGTGCTCTATCCTTCCAGCCAAAGCTTAGGAAGGTTTCTTTTAACTCTTCCCCACCTGTCAGGTGCTGCTTAGGAAGGAATAAATTCACTGTGACAAATGATTATGTTTAAACTTCTAGACTAAATGAAATATCACCATTTCCTTCCAGCAACCCCAGCCATGATCAGTGGGTTTCGCATCTGTTTCAGTCGTAAATTATGGAAACCAACACATTTACAATACAAGGGACCATTTGTCAGAACGTTACCGTGATCCAAAACCTGCGAGTAACCTCAGCTGCTGTAGCCACTAGTACTTACCCTTGGGACAATGGGTTAAGAAGAGCTATTACAGTATAATAAATACAGGGCCTAAGTGAGATTCCATTTCAGAAAGCAGAAACATCTTAAGAGGGTTTTCCTAAATGATGCGGGAACCTCAGACCCATACCACAGACCTGATTCACCTCCTACAGCCCAGGCGTTCCTTCAGGAAATCAGGGTTGGATGGGTAGGAAGCAAATGTTTCGACAGTGTGGCTTTTTAAAAATCATTACAGCATTTGGCCATTTAAAAAAAAAAAACACCTGCATTTTGTGACAACAGCTAGTCATATAAACACCAACCGCCTTCAAACGTCTTGCTGCACTATTAAAAGCAGGAGGTGGATTTGCTGCTGCCACGTGTCCCACGTCTGAGGAGCGCGCTCCCGGGCAGGAGGACAGATGGGAGTTGATGTAAGACACTTGTCAGCGCAGCGTCACAGACTCGCTCCCACCACGGGCTCTCTAAAATGCAACGTTTTCACGAAGATGGAATTCTTGGGAATCTACATCTGGACTTCGCCTTTCACCAATTGCTGAATAAAGCCTACTGCAGTTCTCAGGTTTTATGCTTAATTAGGAATCATTTGTTCACTGACACAAGTGATGATTACACTGTTATCTGTAAAATTTATAAAATATTCTAACATCTCTGGGCTCTATTTAAAAATGTATAACCTGCACATAGGGGAAAAACTGCTTTTATATATTTAGCTGTCCAACTTGGGTTCAATTTCCAGTCCCCATGCTGCTCACCGTAACTGCTTAAGGGGAGGCAAAAAAACCCCAAACCACACGCATGTCACACTTACTGAGTGAGGGTACCTGCATTGCTTAAGATAAAAAACCTCCACAGAAACAAACCAGTAGTCTTTTCCCTTATTAAAGCTCCTAAATTGAGGGATCAAACAAATCACGATGGGGCTGCAAGCCTGATGACAACACAGTTGCAAAAGTGGAGTTACTGGAAGCCTGGAAGTGCAGGCAAAAGTGAAGTTACGAACAGAAAAGTTTATAAATCCGTTTCTTTCTCCAGCTGTGCTTTCTGAAACTCCAAGCAGCAGGACATTTAACAACATTTACAGTCACGAGCCTATTAAAAGAAACTTGGCTAATGACCATATTTCCAAAATAAGTTAGCCATTAACATTGTTTAGGTACCTATTAACTACCTCTATTATCATATTTTGTACAAATAATACATCAGTATAGCGATGTTAAATGGAAAATAACACTTGACTTTTTTAATTAACTCTTTTCCAATTGAGACTTTGCATGGCATGAAACTAGGAAAAAAAAAAAGAAAGGAACAATTTCATTTCTACTTAATTAGAATTTGTATGTTTATATTTTCACACAGATCAGATTGAAATATACCCAGGCAGACTGAAAGAATTATGTTTTTACACCAGAAAGGACAGAAATGAAAGGTGACATGACTTAAAAGAGCACTACAAAGATGACAGATTGGGAGCCTTATCTTTATTCTACCAAAAACTTAATTACAAGGCATACTGTGGATAATGAAATTATGGACAAGTTTTTGATGAACACGGACTTTCACCACAATCAAAGATGTAGTCAATTACAAAAATATACAAAGTCTTAAATAGTTTGGAAGGAATATTAATCTTGATGCTTTAGGGTGTACATCAATCTCTAAATTTTTTTGAGGTGTGAGTTAAACCTACTGCTGCAGATTAGGACGCATCTGTCTACTGGACACTTCTTGT